AGGGTGCTTGGGGAGGAGCATCCAGATACGCTGACCAGCATGGCCAACCTGGCGTCGACGTACAGGAATCAAGGGCGGTGGAATGAGGCCGAAGAGCTGGAGGTCCAAGTATTGGGGATGAGAAAGAGATTGCTTGGGGAGGAGCATCCAGACACGCTGACAAGCATGGGGAACTTAGCGTCGACGTACAGGGACCAAGCCAGGTGGACGGATGCTGAAGAGCTAGAGGTCCAAGTAATGGAGTTGAGCAAGACGAAGCTCGGAGCGGAACATCCCAACACGCTGACCAGTATGGCCAATATGGCGTCAACGTACAGAAAACAAGGCCGATGGGATGTTGCTGAAGAGCTGTTCATAAGAGTAATAGAGACTCGCAAGAAGATACTTGGAGCGGACCATCCCGATACGCTGACAAGCATGGGCAGCTTAGCATCAACGTACAAGGACCAAGGCAGATGGGATGCTGCTAAAGAGCTGGAAGTACAAGCAGAAGGAACAAGTACAGACAATGTAATTGACGAAGACTGTGATTTAGTCTCCGATGTTTCCGATGTCTCTTCGGTCTTCTCTTCGAGTTCTTCGCTGGATAGCTTCTCATCTAGGGGATCGCATGAAGATGCTCGTCGGATGACTGCTCAGCATCTAGCGTATAATTTGTCCAAAGATCCTTTTCTTCAGCCACTATATATTCAAGCGATGCAAGAAGTTAGGAGGGATCGATTTTCAAGGAATCACGACAGACTTTTGAAGAAGTTCTTGGCAGATCTTCGATTAGAAAGCAGAGACCGTATTCATCTACTAGTTGTTCGGTTCCTCCGAAATCGATCACAACGGGAACAGGTGACTTCGCAGATATGTCAGCTTAGTCAACCACGCCCTAGTCTTGCAAATCAGCGAACTATGCAGCAGTACCTAGACCAAGAGGAAGACCGAGGATATCGTCTGGAACGTTTTCTGGAAGCATCGAGTGAAAAAGCCAGAAGCACTACTCCCAGGATAGCGGATGGGGCCGATAATCGTAACAAGGCCATAGAAGCGAAAGAAGACGAATATGGGGATAGTGGCGACACAAAAGATGAGAACATCGATGACAACGTGAACAAGGAAGATGACGAAGATGATGAAGTTGATGAAGATGACGAAGACGATGAAGACGAGTTGGATGGTGAGATAGAGGGGGTTCAGGCCGGGAGCCTGCCGCATCTTGAATCAGTAGTGGCATTTCTCACTAAAGGGCCATCATTTCAAGCCTTCAAGTCAAGCCTTCACCATTTCATCCATCCTCCTACGACGATAGAGGAAGCATTGGGCGGCCAGAATATCAAAGGTTTACGACAGTTACTCAAGAAACGATTTGATGTCGTTGCCCAAGGCGAATATTCCTGGATACACGAACTGGATGATATTGGCTACACGCGCGACGAAATTGCAGACCTCTTATTTGAACAAGCTAGTGACGCCCCCTGGATATACTTCGAGCCGAACACATTCAATCTAGTAGAAGTACAAGCTGGCATTCATCTTCCAGGGTGCGTACATCAGTTCTTCTCATCCGACCAGCCTCCCTCAGACCAATCTACGACAACACCACTGCGCCGCTTTCCTTTTGGGGATTGGCGAGGTGTCACTAATACCGTCCAAGAGCTCTGCGGCTTGGCCGGCATAACACCAACATCTCGAGACTCGGAAAAATGGAATGGTTCTATCAATTTCGAAGAGCGGAATTCTATGGCTGTAGTGACATACTCTCGGCCTTCGGATAGTAATGATCTAGACCATCACGCAGTAATTTCCCGGATCAGCAATTCTCTTGAACGCTTCTGCTCCGCCGCAGGCTACGTTCAAGCGGCTGGGCTCTGTTGCGACTCCTTTACTATACTGCGACTGCCTCCTCACAGTCCTGGACAACAAGAAAAGTCAGAACTGTTAGTAGAGATGTGTCGCATTGATTTCAAGCTTGCCTTGCAGATGTTATCGGAGCTCAAGAGTCTGTCCGTCTTATGCAACATACGCCCAGTTGATACTGTTAATATCCAGGAAATAGCCTTGCAGGTTCTCCAGCCTGTTATGCAGGGATCTACAGAGGCCACTTACGGCAATGGGGTTAGCGCTGTCCTCCAATCTTGCTCCTTAGCCGTTCAACTCGTGTGCTTAGGCTTCTTGTCGTACAGTCAAGCACATGCTGGAGCCATTCGACCTTTTTTCCTGGATACTCTGCTCAGGAAGATTCAACTCCTTGGGATTCAAGCATACACAGATGAATGCGATCGGATAGAAGCTAGTCTCCACAGTCTTACATGCATCGGCGACATGGTTCAAGCTCCGGTCCTTACGTTCAACCTAGTACAGCCATGGATACTTCCCCTATCAGCTAGCAAACCGCTTGCATACGATCTGTTGACAAATGCCCAAGATCTTCTTGACACATGGGGTCCTGGTCAATTTGTTATCCACGTGGACGAAAGTAAGCTCCCATCTGCTATCAAGTTAGGCGATGGGATTGTTTTTGCTTCTGATTTAGAAAACAACAAGTTTCATTGGAGCCGAAGGGTGTCTCTTGAGCACCTATCCCGAGGTACCCTCGATCCGTGGAGCAAGATCATCATTGGAACACCAGTTATTGTCAATGGGAACTGCATAATTGACGAGCAAAAATGCTGGGAAAATTCCTCTACATTTCTCGAACCCCTCGGCCCTTATGGAACTCATTGGGAGCTCGATGAAAAGCAACTTGGAATACAAGTCGGACACTACGCCCTACTCCAGGCCGTTGCAGCCTCACATAAGCTTCCTGCTCAGACTTTGAAGCAACACAGGCTTCAACAGGACGATGAGACACTGATACTATTTCTGGATAATCTTTGGGGCGTTCAAGTGAGTTTCTGCACACGCATTGCTCGAAGAGTGCCACTCCGCGAAATGGTAGCAGATATGCTCCCAATATTTGCAATGGCCTTCATATCTTCACAAGACGAGGAACTCTCCTGGAAGGAGCTCAAAACGACCCATGATATTTTGAGTGCGTTCCAACAGAAGGGGATCCGAGATTGGTTAATCAAGCTTCCCCCCCAACTTCATCAAAACGTCCTGAAAATGGTTCGCAGGATCTTCACTGTCCTCCAGCATACGGGACTCGACCGCGGAGGAAAGAATCTGCTGGTTGCGTGGCCACATGAGCGTGAAATATTCAGATGCTTCAAAATCCCGTGCGAGAAAGAAAGCTCATGGGTGGGGATCCTTGCAGATTCGGAAGATTGTGCTACTTTCGCATACGTGTCGACCAAATGCCTCGAGACCAAAGAGATCAAGTGTAACGGCCCCGACCCTGCTTGGAAGGATGCAATCCCTATGCTGGAAACAGCTGTCGTGCTTCATTCAAAAGACCCTGCTAGACTCACAGGTTCTCTGCAACACAATGCAACGTATTTTTTCCAGAAGCTGGACAGCCTCTTCTTTGTTAGAGTTCAGAGACCGGATGCTACCGGTACAGCAAACCTGGTCACATCTCGTAGTAAGAGCCCCATGGAAATCCAGCGGAGGGTGCTTGTAAAGCTTATACAGGATCGTAAGCGGCTAGCAAGGCTTCGTGAGAAGATAGCCCCGGATGATCGCGCGGAGCGGGTGGCTGTTTCACGGCAACCTCATTCGATTGAGTGACCTAGATTTCACAATCCACTATATCCTAGATCTCTAGAGACATTGCTGACTATCTCTCATTTTGTTAATATCCCTTATTGGGGCAGCCTCTCGGCATTCATGTATTATTTTGATGACTCCGGATAACAGTCACCTCCTTTTGCACAGACAAAATGTAGACAAGAAAGCGGTGTAAGGACCAGTAGCGGCATGAACAACCAGGCGTCGACGTACTAGAAGTAGGGCCGATTAGTGGTTGCTAAAGAGCTGTTTGTAGAAGTGGCCGAGACTTGCAAGAAGAAACTGGGAGTGGGCTACCTAACATGCTGACCAGCACGGGCAACCTGGCGTCGAAGTACAGGAATCAAGGGCGGTGGAGGGAGGCCGAAGAGCTGGAAGTGCAAGTGATGGAGACGAGAAAGAGGGTGCTCACAATAACTGAAGTGCAGGAACCGGAAACCGAACCGGTCGCCATTGCAGGCTAGTGATATAGTCTACCAATATGGGCGGGTTAACTATGTATAATCGCTCGGTTTGATCTCATTGTGCACAATAAAGAAAAGTGAGGTAAGTGAGGGTCCAACATGGTGTTTAAGAGAACGTAGAACTATTCCTACTGTTACTGATAGTAACAATCTCTTAGCAGTTAGAACAAAAGTGAATTGCCTTCTGCTACAGTACAGTTAATAAGACTATGGTTACTTCAGTAACTACCTGTATTAGTTAATTTCTTAGTGTTTTAGTAACGCATTCGCAGACGTTTTCGCGCGTAGTAGTACAAGGGCTGCCGTGGAACAGGAGGCACGCCTAGCAAACAAGCTGCAGCAGTATATTTACACTGCTTAATCTGATCTCCTTGTTGCAGCTAAAGACAATATAATCTATAGAGATCCACTCACTTAGTAGCATTAAATTAGGCGTAAGCACTATGTAACGCTGTACAAGATAGCTATTAACTTCCTATCTATCTCTACTACAAGCTGTAAGTGCTTTAATTAAGGCTCTACAGCTACAACATAACTAGATTGCTAGAGGGCTTTTTTACTTAGAGTTAAACAATCCCCGCAACCAGCCCTCTAGAGCCTCTAGAAACACTAGCTACTGCAGTAGCTACACTAAACAGTAGCTTTACAATTAATCAACTTAGCAGTAACTGTTACTCCCTGTGAGGCTGTTTTAATTTACTCTCTCTGTAAGAACAAAACTCTATTCCCACCAGTAACGCCTTAAAAACACTACTAACAGTAACAGTTACGTTCTAGTAAACACTATGGGGTCCAAAGTGCAAACATTCCGCCAACTTTTGAGTGAATCAAGTGTAGGAACCGAGCCCCTCCCGAAACTCACTTCTCGAATCTCATATGATGATCCTCTACTAGCAGGCACTATCAGCTTGTTGAAGTGGCTCGGATCCGGAATGAACAGCAACATCTTGACCGAGATGTCTATAGCTTCCGCGAGCGGTTGGCGACAAGTCTTGAATATAGATGGCAGATGCACGTAATCGCTGAGGTCGATTCGCCCATTTTCCGTCTTCAGTAGCTCCTCCAATATTATAACCTACGCTCTGTAAGCAATTCTAGAATCCCGGATTGATCAGACCCGAAGGGGAATATGACATGGGATAGAAATTCGGAGTTCAACTACATCGTGAAAGGTCGCAGGAGAGGCTGTAAGAGGTTTTCGTCTTCGACTCATAGGTAGACGGCGGGTGGAGGGCAACTGATGACTTGTCCTCGCCCGAGTTCTCCGATCTTGACATTTGTCCTTGGTCCTAGACGTTGACACGGGTGAGTGGGTAGATGACTTGACTTAACCTAGACAGAATCAGTAAAAATATTTGAGACATTCTAACTAGCTCAAACCAACCGCTACTGATTCGTCTGTGATCTTTGTTCTGAGATGGTTGTTGTATCGCATCGAGGGCGTTGTAAGAAACCTGATATAAGTCAGGTGTTCGGTATTTTTATTGTTCTAATTATAATCACGATAAATAGAGGTAGAAGGGGTTCTAAGTGATCGTGTGTGTTCCATATAACGTGATGTGAAATCACTGGCGGAGTTTGCATCTGAACAAACCCATTCACATTCCGCCAACAATCCGGAGTTGTATATATATATATATATCGATAAACTCATCCGTATACTATTGTGTCAATCACGGCTTTCACAGCTATAGGAAGAAACATAAAAAAGAGTCCCGAGGGTTTCAAATCTAGAACTTCCCCTACCAATGCCTTTCCCTTCCTCTGCAACACCACACTGCCCTAATCTGAGCTGCCACACCTGCCAAAGTTTCGACTGAGAGCAACAATTGCTGACCGGTCCACCAGTCCAGATTTATTCAAACCCACCCCAGATGGCACTTCGATATAGCAGACAGACACGACATTCACAACCTCATGCACTAAGTATTCCTGATCGCCCATACCACTACGATCAATCCGAAGAGGAAATACGCACAACCCAAGAAAATATAAGCACGCAAGACGATGGCAACATGGATATCGACGACGAATACGGAGGTGTTTGCCTCGATCTTGGTGAGGAAGTGGGGCCTATAAAGATTTCAGCGAACGAATCCATTAAGGAAGTTCTCGCAATAGCACCGATTCGTTCCGATCTCCGGAATATGATTTTGCAGCACGCTTCGAACATGGTGCGTGGCTGTTGGAGTCCATTGTATCTCCAAGATCTTGGGGCATGGCTAGATTTGCAAGTCCTGGGAGAGCAGCTTTGCAGGGATCTGAAAGCTATCTGGTCGACACTCCCACTCATTCTCCACAACTACTACTTACCGCCGAGTATGGATCGTGCCGCGCTTCGCTGAGGGAATGGGCTGCAATCAATCTATTGCGACATAATACCCAGGTTGAGTGTCACTACTGGTGTCATTCAGATGGTTCCGTGGCAACGGCCAGAGCAATTGTTGAGAGGTATTACCGCTCTGCCTGGAATCCACTCTTGTAGTGACCTACTATTTCTCGAGAATCGGGCCGGAAATGTAGAGTCCGTCACAGTAATATCTCCCTCAGCACTCGCATTTAAGCTCTCTTGCATGAATATTCATCCGAGTAGTCGGTATATCACATCCGTCGCTCCGGTAAATCACTCTAACCTATTTGGGTGGGTTCGATATGCAGGAGTCTCAGTCGACCATCTCAAGGTCCATATTGTCGGCGCTGAGCTTTGGAATCGGTATAAATACGCTGCCGGAATTTGGGGCTACCGAGCTCTTCCGATCATCGCTCTTATGGCATCCCTCATCGCTTGTAGGACCTCAATAAGATCCAAGATCACCCTCGACGGCCTACGTGTCTTCCGCGATGTGTTCGCTAACATGTGGGAAAATATGCCGTTGAGAACGCCGATCACTGGCCACAACCCGCTGTTGGATCTGCTGTGCAGTTATCCATTCCCTGAGTTGATGCCACAGCTTCGGGAGACGTATGTTGATAGCACAGGAGCCTTCCGCAGTCAACCGAGGGAGGGAAATATGTTCGGAATGCGAACCCCAATCCAATGGCAAACGCAGATTATGAGGGCACGGCACGGAATGCATTCGCCAAAGTGGGGCTTTGTGGTTTGATTGTGCTGATGGAAGATGGACAGAATACACCCAGGATTCGAGGTAACGAGATAGTGAGTCAAACTCTGTGGACTGTAGTATTGTAAACAGTTTCATAGATGGAATTAAAATGATGGGCCGTAGTGAGTCAGAACGACAGAAGCGATGCTGTTGGTGATGAAGTCGCTCTCGGCGCGTGAGCAACTCCAGAAACCTTGAAACTCAGCCTTCGGAAGCTTATGTTGTCTACATTGAGAAGCGAGAAACCATCGGTATTCCACACCCCAGGGTGTACTTTTTATGAAGGCTTGATGAGTTTCGTCGATATTGTGTTTTGAAGATGAAGGATAGAGGGATGAGTTGGAAAGAGCGCTTTAGTGCCTAGGGTTGTTATCACACTTCCACAATCGGGTGCTGCAGCATACTAATAATCCGAGCGGAGCAGCTATTGGATTGATGCGGCGCCCTGATTGGAACAATGTTCACACCTTCTCCGAACACATTTGCCTGCCTCACTCAACACCAAGGCACTAATTCGATGATAACTTGGGTGGTGAGGCGGAAGATTCCGGCAGAGGAAAATTCCGGCAGAGGAAAATTTTAGAACTATGAATGCGGAACAAGATACCGAGGAAAGCCTGCATGTATGCGAGAGGAGATTTTCAGGACCCCAGGAGGGGACTGCCAACCCACTCTTGGAAAAATCCAGTAGGTGGGTGTGGCTGCACCTGCAGGGAACATCTAATCTGATTGATAAGTTGGATCTTATCAGATCCTTGGCTTCCTTTGAACATCGAATACAAACTCACGCGCACTCTCACGCCAAGGTTGTTAACATGGACAATGCCTTGATTTTCTATCGAATACGAGGCGAAGTGCCGACATCGGAACTATATTCAGGAACATTGACAATCAATCTGTACCCGAGAACCACCGAGGAGCCTAGTTAAGAAGGCAGCTTCCCAGAGCATGGAGTCTTTTCTGGGAGACTAAAAGTCGACATCTTTGTACAATAACAATCATGGATTTAAAACCGACGTTGAGTAGCCTTGGTTCTAGGATTAAAGAACTCGCAGAATCCTTGGAACGCCACCTCAGGGAGAATGGTGTCGAAGCACCGACCCTAGCCGCAGACAGTCCAATCAACATATCCAAGTTCACACCAGAGATATTTACGATAAAGCAGCAACTTGCCGATGCTCTAAATGACTTGTCCATTATCTCTCAAGGACCGAGCGAAAGTGTATTCAACTACGCCCACAACGTGAAGACCCATGCCACCCCTCCCAACTAGACTATATGAGTGCTTACTTCGACAGGCCATTCCTGATGTCGCAGCTCTAAATGTTTTGAACCACTTCAACTTCTGGTCTGCTGTCCCTCTAGAAGGATCTGCTTCGATTACCGACATTGCAAAATATACTTCTCTCCCGGAAGAAGCTGTTCAGCGTGTAGTGGAACATGGTATGATGCTCCGGTTTTTTGCTTACACGGATCCCTCCACACCAAAAACGTCCCACATCCAGCACACATCTCGCTCGGCTGCCCTTGCTCAATCCTCTGGCTTGAGAGCTCTCGTCCACTCGTGCATACAAGAGTGTGGTCCACCAATGATGGTGATGCCAGAGGCACTAGAGAAATACAGCCTCAGAAAGCCCACCTTGACAAGGGACATTAGAGAGACAGCTTTCGCCTTGAGCCATAGTGGTGGAGCAGTTTTCGGGAATTTTAGTACGGTCTGGGACTTTCTCGAAAACGATGGCGAAGGAGAAAAGAAAGGATGGCGGCAACGGAGCTTTAATACGTGGATGACTTATATCAATGATATCTTTAGGATGAATGAAGTTTTGTTGGAAGCACTGGATTGGAAAGCGGCTGGTGATGTGACTGTAGTAGATGTGAGTATTATGCGCGATTTGATATATCATTCAACCTCCATGATCTTCAGACCTCGTGGAGCCTTAAGCTAACATGCTCTAGATCGGTGGCTCAGGAGGCCACGATACCTTTGCGCTTGCAAGCGCGTATCCGAACCTCAACATCATAGTTGAAGACCTTCGCGAGTGCAAACCTATATTCGAGAACAACGTCCTCGAACATCTCAAATCACGCGTGGCATTCCGTGAACACAACTTCTTCAACCCACAACCAGTCCAAGCCGACATCTATATACTAAAATTTATTTTCCATGACTGGCCGGATAAGGAGTGTATTGCGATATTACAGGCTTTACGACCAGCTTTAAAGGCTGGAGCTAAGGTTCTCTTTATCGACTACATCGGAAAAGATGGAGAGTTCGACCCAACACTGCCGCGTTCCATTCGTCAACTTGGCACCTCGACGGACTTGAGGATGATGGCTCTCTTTAATGGAAGGGAGCGCCCCGTCGACACTTGGACGGAGATTTTCCGCGCTGCGGATGAGCGATTCGAAGTGGCGAGCGTGAAGGCGAATGCTTTAACATACATACTGGTAATAGAGGCAATTTGGCGGGGTAAATAGACGGCGAAGGAGTAAAATCTTGCGCATAAATTGTCATAGGAAACTACGTTAGGTTGATTCACAAACTCCTTGTGGCGAAGAGTGATGACTTGGTAGAGCCAACGAGGTATATTCAAGTTAAATGTAAATTTATTGCTGTTCCTCCCTCAAAAGAATACATATCTTATTATTAGTTTCTTGGCCAACGGTTCTATTAAGTTTCTTTGAGAGTCGTATTTTGGAAGATCCTAGGGTCTGATATAAGGGTGGAAACCGGTGTCCTCTTAATGCTCTTACTAGATCTGACCGCTGATTTGACAAATTAGATAATGTTTGCAGTTACGGAGCTCTCCATGCTCTAGCCACCTGCACTCCTTTGACCTACTGCTGCCTAGCCACGCCACCTGCTGCAGCCTAGAGCTATTGGTGGACTTAAGTCACATGATGGGTTCAAGTTCTATATAAACCCATAGTTGCCCTCCTTTAGCAATCAACCTAGTTCCTCATGCCTCTGGTGCTCCTCCTAGCTTCACAGATACCCTTCTTGGTTCGACGCTAAATTACGGGTCAAGGCTTTCTTAACAAACCCGGAGTAAGCTAGATTACATTACGTACCAGGGAAAGTAATGGATCTCTAGAGAGTTGCGAATTTCGCACTGCCACGTTTTGGCCATGAGTAAAAAAGTATTTCTGGCACATTGAGGCTAACAGCGAGACTTTCCCTAATTTGTTTGGTATGTCTCATGGCCAACCCGACCCACGATAGTACTACCCATGAGAACCACCTGGGCATCAAAGATGTCTAGACAGCGCATGTGTCCAGATAATAGCCGCGGCTATCAGAATACAACCACATGCAACCATTCGTCCCGCACTACTACTCGATACCGACCCTTCCCTTCGTCTCTCGCTGCATCTTTTCCCTGCTCTTTCTACCTTCAATTCACCTGATTCACTTGCTCCTCTGCGCGACAGTCTGCCGATTCAGGCATCAATGGAGGCGCCATGCTCTACAGGTTCTATCAAGCCTTCTCCCGCGACTCCGTATTCGTGGTTAGTGCTTTACTATTTGACCTCGATTTGATTGTACTGCTACTATCTTAATATCGAGGACCTCCTCGACTCAGACCGCCCCTAGACGAAGATCAGCCCGCAGATAAGCCCTTGATGAGCGCGATCTTGACGATGACGGAGATAATCTTGATGAAGAAGAGAGCGACGACGAAGAATATAGTGCCGATGAACAGGCGAATCTATTGGTGGCCCACTCATAACGGCGACGAACTAGACGAGTCTAAGAATTAAGGTACTTCCTATGAGCCACACAAACGGGCCGGCTCTGCTGTGACCACTCCCCAGCGATTCGAAGAAGGGTGCCCTCATCACTTCGGAACTACTAACCCCGAAGTAATGGACATTTTGTTTCGGAACGCCATGGTGGAGAAGAACCACTGGGCAGATAGCGCTCGGCAGGAATTCCTGAAGGAGGGTACGAAAGATAGCGATGCAAATGATCGTGTTGAATTCGCCGACGACGGAGACGCACTTATGCAGTCGTTGGATAAGATGAAAGAGCTATTTCAGGTCAGGAATGCTAATGTCGCTGAGAGCGAGAGACCCATTAGCATGGCTGAGTTCATGAAGGAAGGAATGGCCTTAGGTGTCGGTCCGCCCACCTGGTGCAGCGATCGGATAGGAGAATCAAGCACTATGCTCCCAGATGGGACCAAGGTATGTATTGGAGGAAAACACATAGACCTCTGCGATCCCGATTTCACGATCTATAACGATGTCATCGTGCATCATCCTGTCAAAAATTCTGGTTGGAAGCGCTCTACCATCTACGGATATCCCAGGGAAGAGCACCCACCGACAGCCTCCCACACTGCGAAACCTGTCCCCAGTCTCGATTCCATCTTCATTATCGTCAACTTCTTCGTTCCAAAGGGCACATCTTCGATTCCCGTCTATCGCCTCAACGCCATGGACTGAAGTATATCGGCTATAACTACGAGCGGGGACTCGCCGGGTTACGATCTTGCATACCATTAAGCGGAGCTCAATGGCGACGAGACCTGTGTATGGGGCGGAGGGTGGTCTAAGATTCAGGGCGGAAGGACGGGATATAGCAAGATGTGGGGGTTGAGGTTGGAGGACATGGTTTGGAAGGAGGCCTAGGGCGGAACTTTCCAATATGGGTTGAAGGAAGCATGCACATTCCTGGATGGGTGAATGCAACTACCAATTCAACAAGTCCAGTTCTCTACCTAAATATTGACAGCATGACTTCCCGCCATGTTCTGTAGTAGGTACCAACATGCAGGGGAAGGAGTAGCCCGATTGGGTAAAGGCGATTCAACAAAAGTGTGTTTGTGCTGACAACTAAGTTTGATTGCAGCGGTAGGACAATTTGCAATGGTCAATAGTCACGAAAAAGGATGTGCGCCATGTGTGGTTCTGCGTCCAACCAGCTGTTGTCTTCGTTATAGGTGCTGTCTGACCAAATCTGAGATGCGGGATGGGATGTGAAATCTGGCGATGGAAATTTGGTGTTGAATAGCGATTAGCCTAGATCTGGGATGGCGTTACTTGGCGTGGGCAGGGATGGCGCAGAGGCGCTGGCTGGCTGACGTGCATCGAGTCTCCACCCGCCAATACGACACAACAGAACGTCAATAATATCCCCATTTGACATTGACATTCCCTCACCCAATTCTTAGTTGTTCCGCTCTGGCGCATCCACTCGCCCTCCGCACTACGCTGTCGCCGCTGCGACCAGACCCGGCCGCTCTGTGACTGTGGACACATTGCGTCGAACAAGGCCGATACCTCCAACTCGCCCACAGCCCGCTCCGCCATACCCTCATGGCCACTAAGACTTAATCTGCGTCGTGCGAGCATGTCCAGAGAAGCTCCCTCCAACCCCAACACGCACACCCGGTGCGCACGTCTTCGAACCTTTCGGTAACGCCAGCGCGATTCAATGGGTAGTGGACAGCTAACTGACTATGGCGCTCCCCACCTTCTCGTTCATGGCGGGGCTCGCCCTGCTGGCCTACCTGTTGTCTTTCGTCCTCTTCGCATTCATTCGAGTCGTCACAGGCGTTTCTATACAGCGCCTGGGCTTCTCTGGTCTGCGCCGCATTGCCTTCACGCCCAAGGACGGCCTACGGATTGAGATCCGCGGCCTCGGCCTCACACTCCACCGCCCTACATTCGCCCAGCCAACGTGGGTCAGCGTGGTGTTGACGGAATTGAAGATCACTGTAGACCTCAAAGCTCTGAGGGAGAAACCGCGCAAGAAGACGGCTTGGGGACAATGGACAAATGGCTCTGCGGACAAGCTCGTCGGTCGCAAGAGCTCCCCGGAGTCGTCAGCTGAGGAGGATGTAGCAGAGGACACAGGCGACGACGACAACCAGAGAAGCAGGACATGGGATAGGCTCACCAAGGCGAAAGAGAGGATTAAGCGCTTGCACCGCAAGATAAATTGGATAAAACTGGTGGATCTGGTGGCTTCCACTTCGACACTTGTCATCGCCGACGTGGGCTCTTTGCAGGTCGGCAGCTTCACTGTGGCAGTAGACACCCGCCGAAAAACAGTGGATCGGACACGACTATTCAACCACCGGAAAAAGCAAAATGCGAACAAGCAACAGCGGCCGGCAGAATGGATCTTCACGTCTCGGAGTATTCTGTTCACGCCGGAAGGGAAGGATTCGACTGAGGTTCTGGACCACTGCACTCTCAATATCCACGGGATGCTGTATAAGGAGCTCGATGGTCTCCGCGATGCTTCCATCGCCCTGAAGCTTGGACGATTAAGCATTCCGTACGACGATGCTAAACTTTGCATGGACCGCGCCAAGAAGTGCCGTGTAGCTGCGTCGAGGAAAGGAGGCAGTCTCAGCGAATCCGAAATCTCCTTTACAGACGTCATCGAAGAGCTAGATCAGCCTGGTAGTCGCGAAGAGAACATTGTCCGCACGGTATCCGATTCGAAAGAATTTGCCAGCTCCATCCTTCGTGGTATCCACGAATTCCAATTCGCTGTGAGCTTCTTTGGCTTGACTAAGCAGATCGAGACCGGCCAACCGTCTGATCCTCCTGTCTTCATGAACATGTCCATGAAGGAGGTGGGAATGGACCTTCTGCGACTGGACCCTCGAAGCCCTGCCCATCTCATGTACTTCTCGCCCAACGACATAGCCCACCAAGCTCTTCTTGCGGCTATCTCTGTCTCAGTCGGCATTGATGACGGCCACGATCATCCAGAACGACTTTTATACATTCCCATGGCAACTATGACTTTAAATACTACGCTCCCTTCAAAAACCATTCAGTTTTCCAAAGAGAAGAATGTCGCAGAAAGGAACACTAATATTCTCTTCGCTAATCTTGTAATTACTTCTCCATCGCTCGATCTTGATCCTAAGCATTTACCTCTAGTAATTGCGCTGTTCCGAAACTACGAATCACGTCGCAAGCCTCCCAAAATGCGGCAACAGAAGCGTTATTTACTTCGGCGATTGTTACCCAAAGCCAGCATCAAGATTTCGATTCACGAACCCGTCATTCGTGTCACGCTGCCACCAATGGAACCTGAAAAGAAAGATACAGACGAATTTGACCTACTCATCTCAGCCTCATCGTCCGTATCTCTCGACGTGGAATCCTCCCACTCGGCGGATGGCGATCTTCATTATGCACTTCTCTCTACTTTCCGAATGAACTCACAACAACTATATTACCAAACAGCTTCTAGCGAGAAGTATAATCTCCTTTTAACCGACCACCTTGAGTTTAAGCTGCAACTGAGCGCGTCACCTGATGTGGTTGTGGTGGTGAATGGCATTGCGCAGACCTTCTCTGTCTACCTTGTACGCCCTGAAATTAGCGAGGGTCTCCGTCAGATTGTTTCACAACTCCAAAAAGACGTGCGGAAGAGGCGCCCGCGAAGCCAAGGGTTGAACTTTTTACGGAAGCTCCCAGCTTGGCTCGTCAATGTCCAGCTCCAGGGATCTGACTTTAACATTGAGGTCGCTGGTACCGACCCTGAAGTTTCCAAATATGCTCGCGGTCTTGGCTTGCATCTTGAATCGTGGACTGCCGAATATCGCCAGAACAAGGGCGATGAGACTGACTCAAAGCCTTCTCGAAGACGGGCTCCTAGCAGAACAATCAATCGGGAGGAGTACCTGCTTCGCCCTTCAACCCCATCTTCGCCAAGGAAGCAATTTGGTGATGGTACCGATGGCAGGCGTCTTGCCCTCCATTGGCAAGGACTTGAGGGTTTTGTTCTCGAAGCCGCTGATCAATGGGAGCAAGAACCCTTCCTTTCCCTCCCGCGAATGGAGGTGGCCTTTACGACATCGACAGACAAGCAGGGCCCGATATTCCATATACATTCCTTCATTCAAAGCTTGTTCTTACATTATTCCCTTTATCGCCATTTCGCTATTGGCGTGGCCACCATGGTCTTGAAGCAGTCCGTCAATTGGAAGCCTGAAGAGCAGAGAGAAGCAGCACCTGCACCACCTAGAACTGCCCGTCACCTCACAATTCCCTCTGTTGACGGTGACAACATCGACCCAACAACGGGGTCAAGGCGTGAGGTTGTTACCATTGACGTCAAGGCCCATTTCGTCCAGATCAAAGCGGAAATGCCCTCTGATCCACCTCTTATGCTTCATATCCATGGATTAGAAGCAGGACGTCATCGATGGACAAACCCATTCCTAAGGTCGCGACTTCTTCGTCTCTATGCCGAGAATCCACATCTCAAACGCGTATGGAGTCGTGTAGTCAGCATAAAATCACTTCGCACGGATTACAGGCATTCTCGAAGACGCTATGGCAACACCGTCACTGACGACAAGTCATTTGATATAGTGACGGACGCTATTCGCCTCGCGGTCCCGTATCAGTTGGTAGTGCATAAAATTTTTGACAACATTACAAATGTCGTCAAGACAGTCAAGCAATTACATCATCGTTTTCAAACTGGTAGGAATGAATACATCTTAGACAGAGAACCGGAAGGACCTAGGCAGATTCCCAAGATATCGCTACGAAGCCGCGCCCTTCTCTTCGAAATCGAGGATGGATCTTTTGAGTGGAAATTGGGAATCATTTACCGGTATGGACTTATGGAGCAGAAACAGAGGCTAGCACGAGAGCATGCTTTCGACTTGAAGGTTAGGAAGCTCCGTGAAGAAGACGATCGTCGAGGTACTTCGCGGCATCGAGCTAAATCGGCACACACTCGCCGTGGGCGAAGCAAGTCTAAAAAGGAGAAAGACTTAAGATGGCGTAGCAAGAGCGAAGACCCTAGTGATCGAGAATCACCCAGTCATCGCAAGCATGATCACCCCATGCGGTATGATAAGGAGGGCTACACTGGGTTGAGCGCAACTTCCCGCACATCGATCGAGGAAGCCCTAGAAAAGTTAAATAGGCTGAATGCACAGACTTGGAAGAAACGGATCGATCACGCCTTAAACTGCCAAACCCGCACCATGGACGACATCCGATCAATCTTCTGGGGCCTTGATGAGCTACCCGATGAGGTAGACCACAAGGAAAATATCCTTGCTATTCCGCAGCGTCCTGCTCTCACCGTGTTAGTGATCAGTGATCTGGAGATTTTGCTCGACAAGCCCTCGTTCCCTCTATCGGAATATCCGAAGTTCCTCAACCGGGTCGGAAAAGGCATGCCATTTGACATGCAATATGCACTCCTTATCCCAATGCATGTTCAAATCAGTATGGGCGAGGCTAAGATCCAGCTACGAGACTACCCACTTCCATTAATTCACGTCCCGTCGATACGGTCAACACAATCGGCAAAATTACCGAGCCTCTCAATGAAGACAGACTTCATCATTGCCGAGGAGTACCGGAGCGTTGAATCCTCACGAGTCAGCAGAGTGGTCGTTGTCCCTCAAGAGAAAACCGCGGGCGGTGAATTTACCGGTGGTTTCGCAGTAGACGTCCGCAGGACTGTCGCGCCAGTGAAGACATATTCAGATATGACTATTGACATCAATTCAGCATACCCGACACGGATCACTTGGGGTACATCGTACCAACCAGCAATCCAGGACATGATGCAGGTTATCGAGAGCTTCACTAAGCCTGCAATAGACCCATCTGAAAGGGTTGGCTTCTGGGACAAGATCAGACTCACATTCCATTCTCGCTTCAATGTATCCTGGAAGGGCGACGGCGATGTTCATCTCATACTGAAAGGTTTGTTTGTAGCTTAACAATCGCTAAGTGATCAGTGCTGACTTTCATTAGGCTCTCGTGATCCGTATATGGTCACCGGCCACGGTGCTGGCTTCGTCATGTGTTGGCAGAACGATGTCCACTTAAGCATAGCGCAAGACGAAGATCCACGCAACTTCATGGTGGTTGATAGCGGAAGCTACGTGTTGGCCATTCCAGATCTCGGCCATTACGCACGACAGGAGGCAGAGCTCGAATCCCATGGTCACAGCGAGGGTTCCTCAAGCATCTCAAGCTACAAACAACTGGCCATTTTTAAGAAAACGATCATGAAGTTGAACGGAAATGTGAGATGGGTGTCAGGCCTCGTCTTTGAGCGGAACCTTGACAATGGGGGAAGATCGTTCACCTTCATACCTCATTATGAGGTTGTTCTCAAGCACCCCAAATACGCCAAGTCAACAGACGGAAAGGTATATGATCCTCAACATCCAATTTTCTCTTAACTGACTCTACGTAGCCGTACGATGCTTTCCATAGCTTTCGTAGCCACCATATTCATATGTCGCTCGCAATTGCCGCTCCTCATGACCGCGAGTGGTCCGTCTCCAATCTTGAGCCTTCAAAGACATACAACAGTGTCCATCTCACTCCTCGCTTCTTTACCCACTTCTTTAGCTGGTGGTCTATGTTTTCTGGCGCAATGTCTCTCCCCATTCGGCAAGGCAAACTTTGGCCAGGCGTTGAAAAGTCTAGTAAGAAGTTCGGTCGCCACCTCGCTACCATCAAGTACAACCTGCTCCTTTCCCCACTTTACATGAGCCATGTCTATAAACACAAAGATGCGGAAGACTACGGACAGGGTATAGTGTCTGCTACCGGATTGAAGGCAAGGCTCGACAGCTTCATGCTTGATCTTCATCAGCGACGAGAGGAGTTCAGGACTATTGTTCAGGCACCCAAGAGTCAAGAAGATGACAAGCAGAATCAGACCACGGGCATGCGCATCAACCAAGTGCAACTAGACCTCATAAAAACGGACGTCCGAGCGGTATCGGCAAGTATTGGAGGCACAAACCCCGATGATGTGAACGACGCCTCAGCAGAGACAGTTGCAGGGTATACCCTGGACCACGTAACCGCGGATCTATCGAAGTTCACCATTCCAGATAACGACCTGGGATGGATAGACATGGATGACTTCGTCGAGCTGGGGTGGATCCTGCCCTCAGATCGCAACCCAGACACCAAAATTCTCCCGCTCGCATTTGCTCCCCGTTTCACATATTTCCGGCAGACTGATCACCAAGACAATATTTCTGGAGATACTCATCGTACCAGCCCCTTTGGGAACGAGCCTACACATCACTGCGTCATGTCTGCTCGAAACGATCCGCGGAGGGTACAATGCCATCTCATCGATCAACGTCTTGAGCGGGTCAAGGAGCAGATATCACAAAACCAACGTGCGATTGGTGAACAAGAGTTGATCATCATACGGGACAGTGAACATCAGGATGAAAATCGACGCCGCCTAGATTTACTCCGCAACCACGCAGGTGTCCTTCAAAGAAAGCAAGATTTCCTGCTATCTATGCACCAGAGTTTAGTTGACCGGTTAGATGCAAATGACCTTCGCGCTGTGCCTGATGGGGAGAAGGATGAAGATGACGAGTACTATGAAGCCCGCGAGGAATACGACCCTTCAGATTCTGATACCAAGGGCATGGATTCAGCGCCGATTGCTGACTATATTAGTGATTTCAATAACCGCTTTATCATCCACAATGTTCACCTCAAATGGAGCAACTCGTTGCGAAACATTATTCTTCGCTACATTCATCAAGTCAGCCAGCGCCGTGGTTTCGTCTATTACATGTCCCGAAGAGCAGTTAAATTCATCTTAGACATCGTTGAAGAGCAGAATAGATCAAGACAACCTTCCACCTCCGGACCGAGCGAGATACCTTCTATGCAAACCCCGCTGTCGCCACAACAAGACGACGAGTTGAGCATACACTCTCGCGTCCAGCAGCTCCTCGACGATGGGAAGAAGTTCGTGAACGCCGATGACCCAGTCAATGCAGAAAGTGCCAAGACGGCACAGAACCGGATGGGAGATGATATTGCAATGGACTATGTTGCCCAGAATGCCTATATCGTGCGGCTCATTGCCCCTCAGATTCAGCTTCAGAGTGAGAAGAACACCAAAGCTGCTGTCCTTGTCACCGCCAAAGGTATGCAATTGAAGGTCATCCAGATCATGGACAAGGATAGAGTCATGGATGAAGTCAGCGGTTTAATTCAACGCCGTTTCTCCGCTTCTATGAATAGTTTGCAAATATTTGTCACCAATTCCAGGACTTTTAGTGTAGAGGACATTCACATGTACTCTGGCAGTACATACGGAACACCTGCCGGCTCCGCATGGCCCCCTTGGGTCCCTTTCGAGGTCATGTTCGAGTTTCATACCACTCCGTATGGTTTCCAGAGAGTCGTGCAAAGGACTTCCGCGAGTATGCGGTACGACAAATACAATACGCTTCGTCTGAAGTACAACGACGATGTCTCTGGCGGTGACTCTGGATCAGCTAAGAGCCCCGAGAATCTGGATAGCAGGATTGACCATTTGTGGGTTGACTTCCCTCACATCAGAGCGCTGTGCAACTCGAGGCAATACTATGCCATGTACGTCATTGTTCTCGACTTGCTTCTATACAGTGAACCATTAGAGAAGACCCGAAGCGAACGACTAGAGAAGATCATGCTGGCTTCCGACTTCAGTGATCTCACCGGTGCTCCAGACTTGGTTATCGGCCTGCAAGAGCGCATCCGACAGCTCGAGGAGATCAAGACGCTGTTCCAGATCAATGAGAAGTACCTTGATAAGCAAGGCTGGAGTGACCGCATCGAAGTCGAAAAAGACCTCACAGTATTCGAAGACGAACTGTTCTTTGTCATGAAAGCCATCACTACCTCTCAAAGGAAAGTGGACGACCGCGCTCAGACGAAGCAATCGAATGGCCTGCTCCGATGGTACATTTCAGCATCAGAAATCGTGTGGCATCTTTTGAGGGAGGGTCAGGAATCACTCGCTGAGTTTCAGTTAAAGAAAGCGCTATACGACCGCACTGACAACAATGATGGTTCGAATCTCAACTCAATGGAGATTGAGCAGATTAGCGGACTCAACCTTCTACCAAACGCACTGTACCCTGCGATGATCACACCTTACATTGACAACAACCGCCCCTTCACCGAAGGCCGAGACACGAAGATGCTTAGGGTTCACTGGGTTATGCTAGAAGCCATTGCCGGCATTCCAGTCATGGATCACTTCGAGGTTAACCTCTTCCCACTAAAGGTGCAATTGGAGTACGAAATTGGAAAGAAATTATTTGAGTACATATTCCCTGGCATCAAAGACAGCTCTGCGGAGAATGGCGGCTTCTCTCCATTCTTAGTGAAGCACATGCTTCCTGCTCAGGATGACGGTAGCGATGGAGAGCAAGGCAACCCGCCGTCTTCGGACTCTCAGAGCCTGCACTCATCAATGGCCGAACACGACGCCGAATCGGAGTCCCTTAAACTGCGCTTGACGCCAACTCTGCAGCTCCCAGACCCACAAACCAAGTCCGCCAATAAAGCAAAAGCCGTGGCTGAAAAACGTCCTCATACGCATCATCTCCGCATCTTCCGTGAGCTTCAATCTCGGTCCGGCGCAGATTTCCGCAAGACCCTCCATCCAGGACACGCGGGCTCCGAAACTATGTCCCTTAATGCATCTCGACCGGGCAGCATCCGCACCAGCTCCAACATGTCCATCGTTACAACCGAATCCGACAAAACCTCCAAGCGATCTTTCCTCTACCGATCTGGTAGTGGAGAGAAGAGAAAGCAAGCTCGCTCAGATGATCTGACCCAAATGATGACGCGCGCCTCGAACTACATGACTCTCGCATACGTCAAGATCCCCTCCATGGTGCTCTGCCTCTCCTACAAAGGTAAAGGGCAGCGCAATTTCGAAGACGTGCACGATCTCGTATTCCGCATGCCCACTCTTGAGTATAGGAATAAAACGTGGTCGAATCTGGATCTCGCTCTGCAATTGAAGAAAGATGTTATAAGGGCGCTGATATCGCACACGGGTGCTATTATTGGGAATAAATTCTCGCATCATAGACCGAGCAGGCATCAGCAATCCCGTCTAAGGCAGATTGCGAATAGTTCGGCGATGCTGGGTACGAATCCAAATACGAGTCCTGATTTATCCGGGACGAGCGATTCGAATAGTATTCGTGATCATAGCCCTACTGGGGAAGGGAGTGATGCGTCCGGGGAACACCAGCCGCGGAAGAGCTTTACGAGCGGGAGGGGCAGCGTGTTTTCGACTGTTAGTGAGAGCGAGGAGTATGAGAGTAGTATGAGGAGCGGGAGAAGCGGGCCGAGTGAGATTATGGGGAGTACAGGGAGTATGTTGAAGGGATGGAGGGATGAGGAAGGGGCGGTGGAGGATGGGAGGGGGTTTGCAGATGAGATTAGTAGGGTCGATCAGACTGAGGTATGTCACCACCATATGTGCACACATTTTCAACTGCGAAGAGTGTGCGGGTTTAGAGGAATTAGGGGCTAATTTACGTCTCTGGTGGAATAGCCTGATCATGCAACCATGCGATCGAGTTTTAGTCGCCACCTGACGCAAATCACGCAATTGGGCCCAAGGAGTATCAAGGATAGTGCGAGTTTGTTAGGCGATGATTCTGAGGATACGTAAGTCCACCCTTTCCCCCTACCACACTCTCCTCAACTTTCTTGGATGTTGGGATCAAGTTTTAAATGCGGTTGCTAATGATTTGAGGGGTGTATAGAACGAGGAGAAAGAGTAAACTATTGCTTGGGAAGAAGTTTTTGGCTGCTTTACCGAGTTCGAAGAGGGAATCGTAAGAGGGAGAGAGGAGTTGGGGTATGCCCTTTGGTTGACTGACTCTGCAATAGCTAAGGTATTTTAGTGCAGATTTATGGGGTCTTTGTCTTTCTCTCCCTAGCATGCACGCAGTTTAAGCATTTCTCGGTGTCGGCGCGTAGCCACTTGAGCGCATGGCTTTTGACATTCATTTTGCTTTTGTATGTACATGTTGAATTTGTTTTAATAAGGGTGGGTAGCATGGGTAAGCATAGCTGGGGGATTGTTAGTTGATCCTCTTCTGGAATGGATGCGGGAAGACGCATCTGGCGTTCGAGGACCTAGATGTACCGAGAAACGTATGAGTCATTGAGCCTGAGATCGATTAAAGAGATTAGAGTAATTGTATTGATCTTGGGGCTTGAGGCGATACTTTATGGTTGTAATATCTGCTTCTAGTCTTAGTCTGTTGGAAGTACGGATGTCGGTGAGGTAGCACACTGAGGTCTTAGCTTTGCGTCTCTTGGGGGCGTGGATAGGTGCGAAACTTGGGAGGGGAGACGGAAAGGATTTCGACCCTAGTCGAGATAAAAAATACAGTGGGCAAAATGAATTTAAGTTGGTGGGAAAACGAGGAAGCAATCTGAGGGACATACAGCTGGGGTATCTTCTATATTACTCAGGTTCCTGTTTATTTTGATGCACCTGTTCCATTCACAAGACAAAGGCCGTCGCAAACGCCACCAGCACCGCCGTCCAGCCAGCCATTCCCTGACCCGAGATAGTCGCCGCATCCCCACCGACCTTATGCAACGTCACAGTCGTAACCGGTGCCCCCTTTGTCGCCGTAGCTCCGATGTCGGTGAATGACCCTATAGCGGACACATTAGCTCTATCTCCACCAGTCCCTCTCTCCCATTTCCACCTCCTTCAACTTCATTGCCACTCCGAATTCAACTCACCAACAGCCAAAGTACTCTCCGTCGTCACCACCGGACCCTCCAACGACTCCCACCCGCCCGTAACCGTCACATCCTGTCTCCTAAGCCCGAATTTCGCATACCCATCGCCTTCTGTTTGCGTGCCTCTTCCCGCACCGTCGTAGCTGTAGGCGGAGCAACTCAACAACCCCACATCATTTACGCCGAGCCGTGGAGATGCCTGGGGCTGGATGTTGCAGTTCGTATGCGCTTTGTTCAAAGCCGACTTATGTGTGGCTGTGCTGGATTGCAGATCCCGAGCTACAAACCACCCTGTAGACACCTGTGTAAACGTCTGACTCTCGGTGCCGAAATACCTCGTCAAACACGGATCCCATTGTAGGGTTGGGGTTTGGAGGCTACTTGCTGGTGGTGGTGAGCAGGTTATGTGGTAGACTGTGCCAAATGGTTGGACGCCGGCAATGGAGGCGTGGTAGATGGCTGGGCCGGGGCCGTATGGGGGGATTAGGGTGTGGATTACTGATATGCTTGTTGGGGTTGGAGATTGTGCGAGGATAATGGTAGGGGTGATTAGGAGGAGGGGGAAGAGTAACATTACGCGAGGAGGGAGTGTTGAAGGGGATCAGGGGGGTATCATTTTCGGCTGGAAAATGGAGATTTTGCATTAAGTGTATCAAGGGTGGTAAGAGGATGAGTGTCGAGAAGGCGTCAGGAAATGCAACAGCAAAAGAGAGGAAAATAGGTAGAAACTTGACATGAGATATCACGCTAGGACGGGAATCCTTTGAGGCGGAGGGGTGCACAGCACATTCCCTCAGGATTCGCATCCCCCTTCTAGTGAAACAAACCTCGGGAGGCCTCGAAACGCAAAATCGAGTTTTGCGCATGCGATTGTGTGTTATTGAAGACTGTGGCAGCGTTGGAGTTGAAAATATTCTTAAGAAATAGTTGTGGGAGCGCCACTGCAAGTGTGATTTACGAAATATGTCCTTGTTGATGGATTGATGTTGCGGAATTCGTAGGAGGGAAGGATTCGTCAACCTCATCCGTCGCAAGGCTAATCAGGCCCTAAAGTCCGTAGCACGTGATCGCCTAGTCATCTAAATAGCTACGATCAAGCAGGTCTGGCCCCAACTTCATGAGGAGGAGTATATGTAGAGTACTAGGAAATTAAGGAAAGGAAATAGTGATATGGAACTACTTACCCGTGCTACATCTCTAGAAGTTACAGCAAAGCGACTATGGCACAGAAGCGGCAGAAACACAAGGATCGTAAATAGTGCAAGATGAAAGGTCGTCCAAAATTTTAAATTCGCAACCCGAGAAGTGGTATCTCCGCGCAACTATATATATACACCCCAAAGGGAAAATGCGCAAACTCATCATTATATTTACCAGCACCCCTGAGCAAGCCTCTAGCAGTTGAGGTAAACAGCTACAGCGAATTTCAGCGTCATGATTAAGTCAACTTTCAATTGAGAGATACGTACCGTTTGCGTAAAGTGCATACGAGTCAGCGTTGTTCAGTGCCTGGCTAGACGACAACCTCGTAGCGGCAGCATATCCGTAGCCAAGATCGTCAGTTCCAGGGCTGTATACACCAGGAGCATGCGTCTCCTCGTGGAGGACAGTAGTAGCTTGGTCCTGGGCATGGCAAGTGCTGGCGAGAGCTGGGAGTTCACTGAAGAAGATACCGCAGTAGGTAATGAAGTTTTGAGATGGTACAGTGTATGCAAGAACATTGGATGAGCAGCCCTGGTACGGGTCATTGCAGTTGGTCGAGGTCTTCGATCCAGAGCCACCACAATCGGAGGCAACGGCGGTAAGGCGAGCAGAGACTTCACTGCTGACACTGCTAGATGTAGACTTGAAGTAGGTTTGAAGCTTGGTGCCGGACTTTGCAGCGCTCGAAGCAGCGGTAGCAAGCTTGTTACAATTGGAAAGTGCGGTGCGAACGGCCGAGAGTTTAGAGCCAGTACAGCTGGAACCAACAGTAGTGCGCTTGGTGATGGCCTTGGCGACAGTCGCGGCAATGGCACCATCGATGGCCATGGAGAGCTTGTTTGACTCGTAGGCGAAGTTACCGACAAGATCGGTGGAATTCTCTTCAGCATACGGAAGCAGGCCCTTGGCGAAGACATCAAAGTCGCCACCATCGGTTAAAGTATGCAGAGCTGCAGTCTCAACGGTGAGCTCCCTGGTCTTCCCAGCCGCGAGAGTCAGGAAATCATCTTGGCTCAGACCAGTGGTCAAAAGTCGGATCTTGATGCCCTCAAATGGAACCTCGGTACCTAAGGTGCTTGTTAAATAGGGAGGTTCAGGCGGAGAAAGCAGTGCCGATAAGCAGATAGGGGTTCAGGAGCATGCAGGTACTGAGAGGTGTTGTGGTGCCGAGTGCATATATTACCACGTATCCGGCAGTGAGAACACGCTTAGCTGCAGTGGGAGGATTTGGGTTTTGCACCGCCACGCATTCCTCTTCCAGTACGGCACGTCCCAATTTGGCATCTCAAGAAAAGCCACAATCTAAAGGATGATGACTTACTGCCAGCGGCGGAGTACATCTGGACCTTCTGAACAGGATTGACTTCATCTAAGAAGGTACCCTTGCTCAGGAGGTTAAGAGTGGTATCGCCATTGTTCGTAACGGCTACCTTAACTTCAGAATTGCCTGAAGCAGTGAGAACGACGCTCAACGGTGTTTCGCGCTTGTTGACATCGATAGCGGTTGCGCTCGCATAAGCAGCTAAAGCAGCAAAGGAGAGTTGACTGAAGCCCTTCATATTGGGAACCAAAAAAAAAAAAGTCAAGATGTTCCAGGCCGGACGGTTGGCTTGAGGACAATGAGCACTGGCGATCAGTGAATGATGAACTACTCCTCGAGGAACTTCTGTTGGACTTTATATTCGTCGCAGACAGTATCTCCAAGAAGGATGGGCGGAGTGTCCGGCCACCACTCGTCAGGGTTCATTGTGTACTAGGTAAACCGTGCAAGGGAGCATGTCCAATTTGGGCAGTTAGGGAAGTGTAATGGCATAAACCTTGGGGTTTCCAAATGATCAACTCTGTAGGAGTGTGGGGCGTTTCTGCGACATGGTTCCAACGATGTGGAAGGGAGGCACGAAACAAGAGGCTGATTGGAGGCATTTTGGAAAACAAAGCCGCTCGCAATGTTCAGCGACAACGAAGCCTTGATGGAGACAGGAAGAGGAAGGTCCTGACCACCTCGCTAGAACATGCCAGATGATAAGGGGCGCAGAGTGTAAGGCACCCACACAGGCGCGACAGCCATGGACAATCCGTGTGGTGCATCGACGCCCGTCGATCTCCACGGCGTAGATTAAGGATGGCAGATAAAGCCTTGGCGTGCTGCGGTGTTTCTAGAGGCTGTTTTGTGATAGGCTCAACACATGTGTCAGCGAAACGATGGGAGGGACTGTTTGTCAGGGATCAAGGCATTTCGTTGACATCCCGTTAAAACCGCACACTTTGGCATGCGACAACTTGGGACATTCCTGGGTTGAAACAGCCAACAGCCGAGAGGAGTTCTGAGAACATCCGAGAATGACTTTGGCGGTTCGCATTACGTCCTAACAGACACTCACACTTCAAGAGATAGATGATTTTGTGACATCGCCCCGGGCTTGATGCCATCGACTGCAGTACTCGCTCGCCAGGCTCTATCTTAGATATTGCAGGTAGACAGGGACTGATCTGTCGGCGTGGAGATCATCCAGATTTGATGTGCGATGCCGAGGAAGACAGTGCAGACAACCATGTAACGTGATGTTGGCGAGATTATGCTTCCCTCCGTTTCAAGCGCTGGAATCCTCGGAGGAAGGTCTCTTGGTGGCTTGGTGAGACAACAGGACGCGGGAGTGGTGGAGAGGTGTTAAAAGAAGGTTGTCGGAGAAATCGGGGGAGTGGAAGGAAATGCGAAGCACAGCCAGCCACAGCCCAAGAGAGGCAAGCGAAAGCCAGGCTGCGGGAAGGCGCCCAAGGCGCAGGTGGCAGTGACGATGCGGGCTGCCAACAACCCCAGAAATACCGACCTGTTATCACGACAGCCAAACATGTACATTCTAGAAAATGCCAATTAGCGTGCCTTGTCTTATTGTTCGTTTCACCTCCCCTTCATGCATACGATTTGCGCCGCGCCGACCTTTCTATTTCCGCCAATTTAATCAATTTATTTAGCGCCACTGTCCGAACATGTTTTAGACCGTTTCATCCCTCCCTCGAATGGCTCGCCACATCAACCAGATCATGCAGGAAACAGCAGCATCGCCATCGCTACTTGCGTCAACGTGATTTGTGGGATCCTTGGAACAGAACAGCCTTTTCAATGCCTGGATCTTGGCTGTCATGGAAAGAACAATTCGGTTTCCCTGCTAAGTTGTCGACAGGCAACACAAAATCTCATGCACATCCATCCCTCTTCATCAAACCTGACACTAGGCGTTCGCCGTTCCCACTTCTGGATCCTTTGAGAGACTCGAAAGTAATTGCCATTCATTTCACCTTCCCGTCTGAGGTTCACCGCCACCATCGCTACCACAGAGGATCTCATCGCCTTTACTAGCATCGTCTTCAAGTGCATCTAGAGCAGCCCTTTTGAGTCCGGTCTCCAAATTCAACTTCTTAACAAAGCCCGCGTTTACCGCGAAGTATCTGCTCGATGAACGGCCGAACTGCAGTTATCACAGCTCTAGCCGTCACCATCCTTGGCTCTCTCTATCTCATTTACACCCCTTCATCAATCACCTTCCACATGTCCCCTACCGGAGTTCCCGCGTCCGAAAACATCCCCGGACTGGAATTCAAGTTGTCGCAGATCTCGAAGAATCCTCCTTCGCTTCTAGTCACGCTTCGAAACAACAATCCATCGTCGACCTTTACAGTCCTGAAATGGGGCACTCCCCTTGACCCTCAAGCGTCGAATCTGGGCATATTCAAAATGTTTGACGCAGACACGGGGAAAGAGGTCCTAATTGACCGTCTGATGATAAATCGCAAGATGCCTCCGTCACGAGAAGACCTCCATGAAATTGCGCCTGGAACAGAACACGCAACCGAGGTCGTCTTCAACAAACCCTGGATGCCCGCAAAGAAGCCAGCGAAGTATCAGATTAAGGTTGAAGGTCAGTTCAAGGCAGTATGGGAAAAGACGGCAAGGGAAGTCGGAACGAACGAGCTCGAGGAGTTAGGAGGAAGCAATGTACTGATAAATCGACCATTCCAAAGCGAGGAGGTTCTTCTTACCGTGGAGTAACGTAGGCCGAGGGCAGTTCACAATATATTATATCAATGAAATGCTTGTAAACTTCCTTTTATGATCAAATACTGCCTCCTTCGCGTTGCTTTAAACCGAACAGAAATTTATTATGTGGTTGATTACCCGAGATCAACTCGCAGTTTCTGGTGTCGAAGCTCGTCTATGAACCTTATTATGGACCTTTAGGCCTTCCTATTTCGACCAGATCGTCCCGGTTCATTGGTTCTTTCACGTACCCCACCACCTACCTTCTAGATTCACATTTTGGTAGTTAATTCGCACTATACACTAGTTTGCTTCTCCAGAACCATTGTCCGGACACCTATCCGTCCCTTGTCTGCTTCCACATACATTTGTAACGTTGGTTCTGGAAATCCCAAGTCTAGGTTAAGATTTGCTAACACAACAAAATGCCGCATTATCAATCAGAGCTTCCATTACACTCTTTCGGGCATCTACCAACGCAGGCAAACCCTTGATTCCAGGGTTTTATGAAAGGGAAATTTCACGTGACTCATCTGCTAGCCTGAAACCAGCATAGCCTCTCTTCATACGTTCCAGTTTGCCTCTCTGTTCAACACCACTCGTCTCTCACAAAACCTGCAGCTTGTCCCACTTACTACTAGCTTCCCTTTTCCTATCGCGACATTCATTCTAGACCGTCTTGGACATAATCCAGACTCTGCAGAATAATACGCGTAGTTAGAATACGTCATCTCGCAGGGGGGTTTCCTATTGCTGCATATGTCACTCCGAGTCAAGCGCCCAGCTTGCTGTGACGGCGGTGGGCTTGGCCCAGTCTATTTACGTGGTCGCGAAGCACCATCTTTATGCGTTATTGACATGGACATTTTCATGGCATTCTTTCCTAACGAAACCTGTCCACGTACGACGTCCTCGGGAATATTCCTAAGTGCATCTACCTATCACCTTCCACATTAGACTGACAGCGCAATACTAGCTGATTACCCCGTGTTATATAGGTATCCTTCTTGAATCATTACTTCCCTTTCCATCCAAAGACCAAAACATGAGAAGCAAGAAATGGGTTATCGTGAACGAACTTGGGAAGAACTTGCCATCCCCTCGGCCGAAATAACATGACACAGATAATGAAATCTCTATCAGTCTCCAACATTATAAGAAAGCAATGAAGCCCATACAAACATCAAAGAAGTTCCATGCTCAGACAAGAGCGAGCAGAAAAGAACAGAGTCCCAGCCAAAACCCAGGTCTCTGGTGGTCACTTCCACTTCCTCCACCGTTGCCGCCTGGCATAGAAATGAGGATATTGTTATTGTTGGTGTTTTGATTCGTATTCCCACCACCATTGCCGGTGCCGCTTGCAGGCAATGCCGTAGCTGTCACAGTCACAGCCGGCGGCACAACAAATGATGTTCCGTCTACGCCATCGGTATACGAACCCCAGACTGTGATATACGCCGATGCAGTGAAGCAGTTGTACTCAGTATAGGATCCCGCAGGATAAATATACTCCTTAGTTAAGCAGTAGGCTGCTTGTAAGTTACCGCTATTGTTGAGTCAGCGTCTTTTCTTAACCTTAACGGAGTGGGGTGGGCGCTTTCAGGCTATGCGGAGAGATAGAAAGAAAGGGTAGAGGTCATACCATTTCATCACAGCCAGATCCATCATGCATGCCGCGTCACAGTATGCCATACTCCTATATGGAAAACATGCGGTAGCGAGATAACAGTTGTCAAAATTACCACTAGAACAGCATCCCGCGGCTTCGTAGATCTCGTTTATGGCGCATTCGTAACCAGAGGGGCAGGTCAAGGATGAGGCTATTGATTGTTAATTTCATATCGCTTCGCGTCCACATAGAGAGATAGGGTGCACCTGATATTTTGTTGATGTATCCGCAAGTACTTACGCCAAGTTGACGTACTGCCAGTCGCTTTAAATCTTGTTGCCCTTCGGGAGCGTCGCTGAGATGTGCTGGGTCGGTGGGAATAGGGCTTACCCCTCCATCTGATGATGCGATGTTTTGTGTGTTGGTAGGCTGAGGCACGTGTAGCGCATGGCTCAGGTTGAAGTAGAAAGAGAGGAAGATGAGGAGAAAGCGGTAGATTCTCAAGTATTCCTTCATGATGGGAGTTTCCCACGTGTGATATCGAACTCTGAAACGCTTTTGAGAGTGAGATAACCTAGCTATAGAATCTAGGCAGCAGATAGGAGAGAGAATACCACGGGGTTAGTGGGTGTGATATGAGTCCGAGTCTGACATGGTCGTATCAGCTCACCGTCTCTGCCTTCCTTCAGCAGAACCGAAGATACGAAGTCAAAGTGGCCTTGAAGAGTCCTTTACACCCAAAACGGAATCCAGACTCACGGCTACAAGAAGCCCCCTCCTTTTCCGAGAAGTTAAGATGACAAGGCTGTGGAGCTGGAAAGGTGGCGTCGACGCAAGCGAAGTTGATACCAATCCTCCCCATCCATCAGATCCTCAGCCTTGTAGACCATGTTCATATCTTCAAATCAGTAACAAGAAAACTGTTACACGAACAAGCCATGGGTGGGATTGTGGCTACTGTGTGTTGTTGGTTTGTTGCTGTGGACTGGAGGCAAGTTCCGTGGTTAGGGGATGACGGCTTGGCGTGCAGCATGTCTTGCTCAACCTAGGGGATAGCAAACGAAAGATAACACCCTTCTAGGCCAATTGCGAATCCTCCAGGTGTGGAGCTTCAGCTAGAGACGGAGCTGAGGCAAGAGGCGCGAGGTTGAGGAAGGAGGAACCGGCGAGCGTGGCGGAGGATACAACCTTTGCAAGGCGATTTGAACAATCTGACTCAATACGAGGAGCTAATTATCTCTGATTTTCACCAACACTCTGGCTCGACCGGAATACAACTCTTTGAAGCCTCTGTTCTCTTCTTGGCACTGGAAAAGTGCTCATAAGCACCCTAACTTCCTCCTGGAAACTGAAGTCCGCCTTTGAGCGACCTGAACCTCTTTTCTTCCACCGATCTCGTTTTCCTCCTGATTCTTCTTCTAATATTAGACGTTCTTAAATATCGCATATTTGGTTGCCCTAACTCTTCCTCGACCCTTCTGCAGCCATCCATATCAACCATGAAAATCTATCTTGTCCTCACGCTTCTCTCGGCCATCTTCTACATCTCTATCGCAATCCCGGCGCCGTGTCGCTCGCCTAATGACCTAACGCCGACAGCGAAATTTTTGGAGCAAGTCTCTTCTGCAACACCAAGGCTCCCCAACTTATCTTGCCGCACAACCCTCAGCGGATCCTCCGCATATATGTCGAGAGTGATTGGGAAAGGCTCGGTGAAATGGGTGTTAAAGATCTTGAAAGTATCAGTGGTGACCTGCGAAGGTATGTGCAAGTCTTGCCTTTCCGTCGACTTGTTCATATCCATGGAGGAATGTTCCGCTCCTGCAGTGCACATGGCACTGCACAATCTTGCTGGGTCGATATACAGCGTCTAGCTTCTTTTTCCTCCATTATTTCAGCTCATTTTATCCAATCTAGAACCCTCTAATCATTCCCAGAAACTCCACTTGCATCAAAGCTCCCAATACTTGCCATCCAACCTCGTGCTCTCAACCTCAAGCGCGACACAAATACGAACAACAACAACAACACGGTGACTGTTAATAGTCCCTCGCAATCAAACGGCGGCGGGGGCGGCAAAGGCGGCCTAACCACAGAAGCTAAAATCGGTATTGGTGTTGGGGTTCCTGCGGCAGTTTTCGCGCTAGTGACGATTCTGATCATGTTGTGTAAAAAGTAGAAGAAGTTGGGGAAATGTGAACCAAAGGGATTTCTTGTTGTGAGGAAGCAATCGAATATGGAGTCTATGTGTTAGATAATGGACGCGAAGATGAGAGGAATAGACGTGGTGTTGGTGTTGGAGCTTTTGGTGGAGTGTAATGTATACTGATGTCCTTAGTGGAATTAATCAGGGTAGTTTCAATTAGCGTTGTTGCACGTACCTATGATGAAATATTGTATGTTGATAGTTGATTTGGTAGAGCTTTTTGGTTGATAAGGTGCAACAGTTCTGGACTGTGGTAAGTGAAGAGTAGGGCTTGCTAAGAATATGCGGCCGAAATACCGCAATCCTATCACCTGGCAATGAAGTCTCCTAGTTCCCCATCTATCCACCCGTTCGCCCGAACCACGCTGACGTACTCCGAAACTGTATTATAAAAAAAGGATGTAAATGTGGGAGAAGAAACAAACGGTAAGCGGGGGTATCAACCTAAAACCCCCCTTCACGCCCATCTGGCTCTGATCGTCCCATCTTGCAACTGACTTATACCCTTCTTCAATTCCACACAAACCTTCTCCCCCTCCCCCCACCCTCATATCCACCCACAACCCTAAAACTCAATAATGCATAATCTCCATCCCGTAATCATACCACTGATCTTCATAAGGCGGATCTACTATCTCCACCACATCCCTACCACCAATTCCACCTCCCACTCCAACTTGATCCCCTTTTCTCCGACCTTCATGTTCAATCACACCATCCTCCTGCCCCAGGTTCTGTCTTGTACTCAAGAGTCCAATGCCGCGGGTAAACGTTGACAGAGGCCAAAATGAGCCACTGAAATCGAGGTCGTACCAATAGTTCACTGCACAGCATATGGCTTCGGTGGAGCAGGTTTGGGTTACTTTGTGGTACCTGGGGATTGGTTAACGGGGTCGATTGCGAGTGTATATGTCTGTATGCGAGGTGGAACAGGGCCTAACATACCACAATGCTGGTAAATACAACATATCACCTTCATCCAACGTCACCCTCAGCGGCTGGCTATGTTTACTAAACGGCGTCGGCCGCTTCCCCGGTTCATCAGGATCCCACGTTGCAAACGGCACGCTTTCCTCGGGCTCATCTACACAAATCACCAAATCTTTCAATGCGGCCTCTTGGTCAGCCTCGGACATCACGCCTGGGGAAGTCCCAGGAGTTGAGTGCAAGTCCAGCGGCGAAGAAGACCGACTCGAAGGCAGAGAATCCCTCGGCGCGTACGTCGCCGCCAACACTGCCTTCTCATTCACACACGCGCTTTCCACAGGCGGCAACAGCGTAAAATGCTTCTTCCCTAGCACTTGCACATACACATTCTCGTAATTATCCTTGTGCAGCGCGGTCGTAGAATGACTATTTCCGAGCCAGAAATTAATCGCATCAGGACCCTTTTCTAACGCGATTTTAGCAAAGGGGATGTCTTTAGGCACGTCAGAGAAAAGGGAAATGTATTCGTTTCGCAGGTTGTCATTCTGGGTTTGGGCGTACCGCGTTGCGGAGGTGTGACCGGAGGGGTGATGTTCTTGGGATTGGATGGAGCGAATGACAGCGCTGAAGGGGGCGGATGTGGAGTAGGGTTTTACAAAGAGGAGGTCGTCGTCCTCGAGTTCAACGATAGAGTCAGCGTTGCTAACATTCCTCTCATATCAGCCTTCATCCTTTGATGCCTGAAGTTCGAAGTACTCTCGCATCACGTGCTCGCTTGAACACTTACCCATGAGGAGTAACTGCAACATTAACAGTCTGATGTTGCATCACTTCGGTGAGATATTTCGCATTCCACATCCTACGAGCTTTCCAGTCTTCGGCGCCTTTCCGGACGACGAAAGGTCGGTTACGGGAGACATAACGCATGAATTCAAGCGGGGACGGTTCTTCATTGAGTTCGTCCACGACGGAGGAGTTCAGATCATGGTAGGATGATATTAGATCTAGAAAGGTGTGAGAAGAAGCTTCCGGGTTAAACTGGGCAGGAAAGGGGAATATTCATAGAAGCTTCGAAACGCGCTGGTGTGGGTTGAATTTCAAAAGTGCATGGTGGAGAGTTCCCGCCATGCAACAAAGGATGCTGAAAAGATCGAGACGGAGGAGCACACAACCCCACTGTGGCAATAACAGACAGCGAGGAGGAAAGAAAGGAAGTAAACACCTCTTACAGCATCACCTAACCCCGAACCCTCAAACCCAGTAGGCGCAGGCCTAAAAGCCAAAGTCTCAGTTTTCGCAATCATATGTGCCATCAAACCCCTTCACTCTTATGAGGGAAAAACCAAAAACCAACCTTACCGTCTCCCCGGGGCGCACCAGCCCAAATATAAGACTCCTCTCCATAACTCTGTACCCCACGCGGAGCCGGCAGCTGTATGGATGGTCCTCACTGTCGACTGTCGGATGGTGGAGTGACAAAACCCCGGCAGAGTGGGCGCGGATATAAGCCGCCTTGGCAAAGCCATCGAGGATTGGCGTGAGTAGTGGGCAAGCACACCACCACCGTCCGACATTTTCTGCCTGCACGCCCGCAATTGACCCGTTGACGTCGCACAGGACCCGGGATTTTGGTGAGAATATCATGCTGCCGAGATAGTCGCGCTCCCAGTCTGTCTGGAGCTGTACGGAAAGAGAAGGATGTCATTGCGCGCGACATCGGCGCTGCTCACGCGCTTCCGCGCTCGCATACCACCGTCCTTGCGGGTACGGAGAGTGACGGACTCGGGGCATCAACGCACGTTGTTCGGTGAGTATTCTTTTCATGGCATGCATGCGTGTGCGTGCGTCATTGCAACATCAACAACTGGGCTTGACATCCATCCAATCTTCAATCTCTCCCCTCCTCTCAAATCCCATCCCACCAAACCTTGGAGCCATGCACTCAGCTAACCAGCCCAACCCCCCTCCACAGGCCACGCCGTCCTCATTGCCGAACTCTCCATCCTCACCCACCTCACATTCAAATACCTCTTCAGCATCACGCCCACCAATGGCATCTCCATGATGCCCACAATCCCACATTCCTACCGCCACTCCCCACTCATCCTAACCTCGCATCTTCACCGCCGCGGCCGAAGAATCAAAGTCGGCGACATAATAACCTACCAACACCCCATTATCCCACACTCCGCCGGCGCAAAGCGTGTCATCGGTATGCCCGGGGATTTTGTGAGCGTGGTGACGCCGGGACGGGATGAGTTTGGGGAGGAAGGGGAGTTTGGTAGTGTGAGAGAGGAGCTGATTAGAGTGCCTGAGGGGCATTGTTGGGTTGCGGGTGATAATTTGGAGTGGAGTCGGGATAGTCGGGTATTTGGACCTGTGCCGTTGGCGTTAGTGAAAGGGAAGGTGGTTGCGTTGATTCTACCTTGGGGGCAGAGGAGGTGGTTTGGGGATGGGGTTGAGGATGTGAAGGATATGCATGGGGTTGTTACGACTGTGTGAGGGGGATTTTTGAAGGATGTGTGTATATAGATTGGGAGAAGTTGAGGAGTGGCATGTGTATTATACTGAGATGTATGATCGAGATCACGAAGATCATGTAGATAGAACACATAGACAGAACAAAATTTAAGGATTGTGATGTCCTACATATTTCCTAGGGCTAACAATCAAATTCTAGGCGTCTAATACAACTCCAAAGTATTCTAATATTTCATCTCGTTCAACTCCTGTCCATCGATCTTCGTCAAACGCCCACGTCGCCATATCAACCCGAAGAACATATACTAAGAAGCGAATATCCCAAGAAATCCCCCTTCCTTCTTACATCAATACAACAGATCGATTAGAGGAAGCAGCAGACCGAAGGAATCTAAAGCGCAAGTGCCGCAGCAAGAATGCCACCCGCCGCACCAGCCATAGCAACAATTCCTGTCGGAATCGCCATACCCGCTGCAACCCCCGTGCTCTGGGCGCCTGCAGCCGTCCCCGTAGCATTCGCATTCGCGGCAAAAGTCCCCGAAGCCGCTGCACCTAATCACACGTCAGCGCTCCGGTTCTCTCACATCAAGCATCAACTAGTAGGCAGGATAAAGGTAAACTCACCAGTCCCTGTCACCACCGCCTTCCCGCCCATGGTCACTGGAACCGTATTTCTAATAAAAAACTCATCCACATCCGTCTTCTTAAATGTTTCCGTATGACTCCCATCACCATCGCCCCAAATACTCGGATCCAGCCGGCCACTACCCGTACACGTTGCGTCACCACTCGCAACGCCACCATCCCCGAACGTGCAGACTTCATCAACTGCCACGATGCCGGTCACAGTGTAGTGCACGGCCCAGTAGCTCGCGCCTTGAGTGACTTCCCAAGGTAAACATGCGTCAAAGGCGTCGTAGCCGTAACATTCGTAACTCGAATCTCTCTTCTCCCTCTCTGCGGCCAGGGCGGCGAGATATCGCCTAGCGTTATCGGAATGGTCTTTCGTCTTAACGCCTCCTAGTGAGGCTTGAAGGGCCGAGGCTTTTGATTTTGCGGATGCTTCGATGGCGGAGGCTTTGCTAGACGCGGCGAGGACTTTGCTAGTGTCGGTGCTGCAGGAGTAGGAGTAGGTTGTCAGGTCGGAGGAGGAACCGAGGACAGTGACGGTGGGCTGCGATTGCGTGACGCACCAGTCCGGGATTAGGAGGGTGGCGGTGGAGGTGGTGAGGGCGGTGGTGAGGGCGGCGAGCAGGAGGGGGAGGAGAGCTGGGGTGACTGTTTTTGATATCATTTTGGGGGGGAGGGGGCAATGGGAGAGGGTTTTGGATGGGGTTGGAATGAAATGATCCGAGGCCAGGCTATCAACAGAAGTGAGGGAGATTTTGGAGTCGAGGCTATTCAAATACTGAATGCTGAAGGGGCTTGGTCCCAAGTGCGAGTCCCGCGGGGCTGTATTTATTATAACCAGTTCGTTAATCACAGGAAGCTGCGTATGATTCGGCGTACAAATTTATGTGTATTTCGTGAGAAGGACTCGGTGCTGACAACAAGAACGACGAAAATAAAATTCTGGCCTACTTAGACTTCGACTCTTTATGTATCTACCTCTCAATCATTGCTACGCCTCGCATCTGAGGTCATGAATTACTGACTACATCGTGCACAGTGACTGCACAAACCACCACTGGGCCTGCGAAGTGAGGTGAGATATCCATGTTTCAGGATAGAAAATAGAAGAACTTAAGCTGAGATACCGACAAGGTTCTGACTCTAAACTAAAAGGGGTTAGAGTTGGGGGTTTTCATGCTGCTGAAACACAGCCTTATCAGCCACATCGAACATTGCGGGCTGGTGATTGGCCGCTGAAAAGTGTCTGGGCTGAGAGGTTTCCAGGGTCTGCACAGCAGCAGGTTTTTGTGTGATAGTGATGGGGATTTGGGAGAAGGCATGGGAACGGAATGAATGGTATGATTTCATAAATCTCCGTGGTACCCGTAGAGGCTTACCTTCGGTGTTGTTGCGACTTACATCCATGCTGGATAGAGACAGTGTGAATCATTGCAAGGCGAACGAACCGAGATCCTCAATGAGGTCAAAGGTTACCAGTTTGAACAATGCCATTTTCTTTCACAATCTCATCTCAACCTTCTAAATCGTAAGGCAGCACCATTCCCACGCTTTTCAATTATCGTTCCAACTTCTGTCCTGCCAACAATCTCAACTACCGTATACTATCACTTTTCGCAATCCCATTTCTTGGCATCGTACTCTTCACTCTTGTTAGAATGCGTAATTTCTCTCTCAAAGCATCCAGCAAGTACGCTCTGCAAGCAAGTACCCAATTCCTCTAACCTAACCCTCTAAGAGGAGAACGCTGTACAGGCCGATCTAGATACCCGCGATAGTCTCGACTTTTTTGAACAAAGAAGAGAGGAGGTATGAGAAAGCCTAGAGCCTCGTATATTGGCTTACTAGGCCGCGCTTTCCGGCGACCATCGACTCCTTCATAACTACAAAATGAGAGCTAAAATCTTCAGCCAGCCGTGCATTTCCAAACCATCGTCACGGAATCACTGTCTCCAACATGGCAGCATGCATGCTATAACAAAAACTGGATGACGTTCTAGGAAATACACTTTTGTAGCGTTTCGGTAACTGCTCTCCCCTCTCTGGACACGCCGTCTCATGTAAGTGCAGATTTCCAGCTCTGTATGTGATTGCTTCTAGCTTTGCTACCGGATATTCCGAAGCTCTTACCGTAATTTATCAACAACATATCTTTCACTTCAAGGAAGCGTAGAGTCCTGTAGCATCCAGATCGTAAATATATTCCATCCAATAGCACACTACCCACCATGTACGTATTTTGTCCTCTTCTCGTATAGTTCGCGGCATGTTAATGTGGAGCTAAACGTAGAAGTTTCTGGAGATGTACGAAGCGTTTGGGACAAGTAATTTTGTTACGGTTGTGAGAGAAAGGGTGCATAATGTGGAACAATGCGGGAAACCATTATGACCAGGGCTTCTAATGGGGCGTACTACTGTCCGTACAAAGTGAACCGTACCGGTGACGTGTTCAGTACCAACGTACCCAGTTTATGAGCCGCACCGTACGTGGTACATATTGTATTACTTTTTAGGAAGATTATATAGTAGTTCTAGGAGAGTAGGAGGGCACTAGCAAGTAGAGGTAAAGGTAGATTACCTTGCCATGCTGCAATTATTATTATTTAGCTATAGACAACGTACTATTTCAAGGTACATCAAAAGACGCAGTGTAGAGGGCTCTTAATTTCTGCAACCTATGTAAGAGACTGTGCAAAATGGGTATTTAGTTATCTAGATAAGCCCTGTAAGGCTTAAGTCGCGTGGATAGCTATAAGGCATATATACTATTCCGCAAGCAAATTAACCATTAATCATCTATACCTTTTAGTTATAATAGCAGAGTAGTGCAGAGCCCTGTCCTTAAAAATGCTCTAAAGCACTGCAAAGGTAGGAAGTAGTAAGCTTTTGAACCTTCTCCTTATGTTACGAAAGAGAAGTTGTTATCTAATAGCTATATAGGCCTTAATTATAAATGTCTAGTAACCTATTATTTCAGCTATTTTAACTAGAGGACAGCGTTCTTTAATTAAAGTGTACTACTTAGACAGCTCACGTGAGCTGGAACAATTACAATATGTACACCTACCTCTCATCGTCCCTGCTGTACGAGCGTACACAAATCTGACCCATACGGACATCAAAATCGCCCAATCGTAAACTACTATACCTCATTGGAAGTGCTAGTTATGACAATCCATAGACGCCGAAACGGTTTGGAACTAATTACAGCTACACGCAATCCATTCACCTGACACTATCTCTCCTTCTAGTGAGCATCCCGTGAATAGTATGTCTCCTATCTGTTCTGGTATTGTCGCCTAAGAACAATCTTCACGGTTACTAATCATCATGGCCAAGACACATGTCTCTTGAGCAACTTTGACTTTCCATCTTCAATCACTTGCGGCCGATTGTCAGTCATGAGGAGGCATCCTGTGCCCATTCAAGCTGCTTAGCTAGCTGCTAAGCCTACGAGCATTTACATCCTGCATCTTCTTACCCAACGCTTTGTAACTAGGGCCGAGTTTATCACCTAGCCCCACTGAAATCTCTCCTCATCCACTCTTGTCCCCTCATCCCAACACCTCTCCACCCACGCCACCCCCACAATCCTCGGCAACGGTGTCACAAACAGCTTTCTCCTTAACCTCGTTGCACTTGCCTCATCGCGAACTACTACATGTGTGATCCCTCCCTCTTCCAATCCTACAACTACCATGCCACCACCAAACCGGATATAATTCGTCGTGAGCTTAAAACCCAACGATTCTACATCGATGTCATCAAAGCAAACCTTCATCCCCGAAAACATGTAATTCTTCAGCTTCATTAATTCTTGGCCGTGCTCTCCAGCCTGCGCAACGAAATCCGCACCTTCAAAAGCATTTTCAAATTTCTGCGGCATATTGTCGAAAATCTTGCGGAGTTCCGAAACGTCGCTGACATCACGGGTATACGAGTCACCATATTCATCAACATGTTCTTCAAATGGCAGCTGATCATCCTCGAGAAGGAAAAACATGTGGCGATTAGGTTCGAAAGGAAGCACGAAAGGCGGGGCGTTAACGTCGATGCTAGATTGCTGGATGCAGTCATAGATCCAGATGGGTTTGACGATGTTGTTTGTTTCGCGTTTCTCGAGGGACGAGACTTTGACAAGACGTTTGTCGGCGATAATGATGAGATTTTTGTCCTGGGATTCGCGCTGGACGATTTTGCCGCCGTGGGCTTTGACGAGGGCTTCGATTTCGGGTTTGGTTATTTTCGAGGGGGTGAGGGCGTCGGTCATGATGAAGAAGTTTAGGCCGGAGAATAGGTTCGATGCTGGACCTGCGTAGGGGGTGGAGACGGTTTCATTGCCGGCGATTACAAGGGGTTTCTTGGTTGTTCGGGCCTTTTTTCGTCGGGACTGCTCGATTTTAAACTCCTTTTCCTTTTCATCGTGCTCGCGCTCTGCGGTATCTTTCAGCTCCATGAATTCTGATATCGACAATGCCTGTTCCCATTTCTTATCTGCACGGAGTTGCTTGAAGCGGGGAAAGCGCAAGGTAATGCTCATCCTGAATTTATCGCTGCTTTCCACGCTTGCTGCCTTGCACTCGAGGACAACAGATTCACTTGGTCGAATCCATTGATCTGGCCGTTCGTGTTGGCGATTTTCAGCGTGTCCACCGAGCTCGATAATCGATGGAGGACGCTTTGGGTCCCAGGTCTTCCACTTCCCTTCAGTACGTCCCCGGATTGCTGCGTAGTCTTCTCTGCTGAACCCACCACCGACTTTGAAGAACGAATAGCATTTCTCGTAGTCTGGGTCGCCTTCCCGTGCATGCTTGTTAACTAACAGCCCGCAGAGGAAACTCGAATGGGCGCCACCACGGTGCCCTGAACCAAAGTAGCCTCCAACAACGACGCAGTCTAATGACTCTCCGAATTCGCTCATGTACTCGGGCTTTACTTTGATCCAGTCGTCGTTACGTTCATTCAAGCGATACATGGAACGGGGATTTTTCAAGACTAGTCCCTCGGATGCTTCAGCCACGACTTTCCGCAGCTCGGGTTCGATTTCCGTGTAAGAGTGGGCTTCGATATAGGGATGGATTTCGAGACGACGACGAACACCCTTAACTGCACTAGCTAACGCATTACGACGGTCGCGAAGCATATAGGGCGCGAGAAGTGTGTCATTAAGATATAAACAGTCGAAGACGCGGTATAAGGGACGTTGGCCAGTACTCGAACTAGCACGGTTCTCTTTTTCTGAGAGCGCAGCGGTTTTGAGAGTACCGAAGCCAACGATGCGATCGACGTCCATGTCCCAGGTGATCATTTCGCCATCGAGAATAATGTTCCGAACACTGGACGCGAACGCGTCTTTGAGAAATCGAGTGAGTGCACTGTTCTCTTGTTCGAGACCCTGGCCGTAGAGATAGTGGTAGTCTTTTGCTTTTCGCGACCAGAATCCGAAGCGTTTTCCGCCGGGCATGTCCGGATCTTCAATCATGTGGAGTTGCATTCGTTCACCGTCAAGCTTTTCTTCTATCCAGAACGAGTCATCGTCAGGGGTAGGCTTCAGCTTTGCAACCATCTTTTCGAATGAGCCGACCAGCTTCTGGAAAGCCGCTAGTTGGGGCTGAAAGCACTCCATCAGCGTAATACCGGCGTCGCCACCATCTAGGCGAATCCTAGGGTCATAGAGCTCCCAGCATACTCGACGAAGATTCGAGGACACATTAAAGAGTGTTTCGGCGTCTGGATGCCAGATATCAAGAATAGTCTTCTCCGTGGCGCCAATCTTCATCTGGCGCAGGATCATTCGAATCAGCCACGTCATCTCCTCAGGATTCATCCTGCGGTAGAATCGCTTAAACACACTGAGTTGCTCGTCTTCCATACCAAGCCGAGACAAGTGGTCGAGAGCATTGTTGACATCAGCGATACTCATGTCTCCAGGCGCCGTTCTCATTGGCCGCTTCGAAAGCACTTCGAAACATCGACCAGCGAAGTCACCTGCGGTTGAAGATACAAATTTACCAAGCTGGCCAGGAAGCTTCCAATTGATCATATTCTTTGCATCCTCGGAGTCTTTGTTGATCTTCATGACCTTGATTAGGATTTTCGCAATTGCCTTTTCTTTCAGGCCGTACATGGCACGGTCGCGGTCTTTCTCTGGAATTACGAGCCGCATCGCAGGGTAGAAGTCATTACCGACTTCTTTCCTCCATTTTGCGATGTATTGCTCGATGATGTTGCGGCGAGCTTCGTGTGGCGAGAGGGATGCTTGGCCTTGGGGCCCTTGTTTCCGCCTGGCTGTGGACGGGCGGTTCTTTTTGGTACTGTCGAGCAGCGGATTGAACAACTCCGTTATCAGGGAGTGAAATGGAAGGGTCTTATGAAGGTTTCTTGGCCGATTGGGATATCTCTTGTCAAGAGCAGCTTCGCTGTTGTTTTCATCATCGCGATACTGAAGTTTCTGTTCTCTTACGGCATCAGCATCGGGCATTACAATGTCTTCGGCCATGACTTATATTTCTTAAGGAAGAGTGTTGCGTGCTAAAGGCGAAGGAGCGATGGGAGGTGAGACGAGGCAGCAATGTGGATTCGCGTCGCTGAGTAACGCGCGCTATCACATGACAGTGCACGTGCCTATGACGCCGGATGGGGAAAGGTGGATCTGGAGCAGCGTCGACTAGGGCTGGCTGAGCAAGTGACAAAGCTCCTTTACAACCACATGAACCACAAGTCTGCCGTTTAAATCGCCGCTGCGTCCTCTACAACCTCTAACCACCTATGTGACCGCTGAGAGACGCTGAATTCGGCCTTCCACGACATCCGCCAAAGTCCGATGGGGAATCGATGAGCTCCGCAACGAGTGCCCGCAACACTCCCCAGGCGGCTCAAACCACCGGTGACACCCAGTACAATGTGCGCGATGCCGCTCTTCGCGGAGCATCATCAGCCTTTTCGAAGCCTCCCGTGAAACCAAAGCCACAAGTCAACACATATACCGGCGGAAACAATGGAGCCTTGTTGGCAGCCACCAAAGTAGGCACAGGCACTCCACGCCAGACGTCGCCCATACGACAAAATTGGACAGGCGGAAGCTCCACAGGCAGACCGAATCCATCTCCTATACAGCTCGCGAGCAAATCGAGTAGCTCGAGTACCCTTGATGTGCCAGTGGACAGCTTCTTGGAGCGAACCCCGTCTCCGTCTAACATTGCGGCGAAGTTGGCGGCAGCGAGACACAGTCCCCTGAAACCCATACCACAGGCCGCAATCATTTCTATGTCACGAGAACGAGATGATGATGACAGGGATATACTGCCTCCTCCGGGAAGTGTTGGCAATGTATTGGCGAGGCTGAACTCGAGCAGCCCACAGCCACTGAGGAGGCGGGCGAGCATCGGATCGCAGTCGGCTGCCAACACCGTGCGGGAGACAAGGGAAGACACGAGGGCTACGGATGACTCCCCAATTCCTCCAACGACGTCGCTTGTGAAGATGTTCGAACAACACCGGCCGACCACACCTGTAAAGCGAAGGCTGGAGCCCGCTGTTGTCTCACAAGCCCCACCTCCAGTGCGGTCGCCCAAGCCGCAACGCATAGTCAGCCTCCCGCGAGATATCGACGCCTTTGATGGAACGCGACAGCAGCCGCAGGGTGCTCAACCGGCCAAGCCGAAGCCGAAGCCGCAAAGGAAGCTCACATTGCCGGCGGAGGAACCAAAGGAACATCCAAACTTCAGCAGTCTTCGAAAAGACTCCCTGGGTACGCCTCCAGTAAAGCAGAAACCCGCGCAGTTGACGGCAGTCAAATCTACGCCTCCGCGATCGAAGAACTCTCGTCGAGCATCTCAACCACGATCTCAAGACCTGTCTCATTCTACGTCTTTCCACAACCGCTTGTCTAGTTCTCTAGATAGCAACGAGAACATGTCTTCACCATCCTCTTACGCATCCGCCCCCGAGGAGCTCGAGGAGAAACTGAAGCCAAGTCTTCCTCCACCCCGCCGCTCTGCGAAGGCTAGATCAGAAGATGTCGACCGCAGAAACTTCGAAGCCCGCCCTAAAACCGCTCCATTACCCCCCACATCTCGAGCACTGAACAAGATTGCGTCTCCCATACATCCTCCTGAGAAGTTTCCTCCCCCTCGCAGCACCCCCTTAATGGGCTCACCCTCACCTACCGACACCATCTACCATTCAAACTACCAGCGTGAATCCGTAAAGGCTATCACAAAACACATGACTGGCGAATCCCTTTCCAACGCCATTGTCGGCGCAGCTCTCGCCTCCTCCCGTAACGCCTCCCCCGCCCCATCCATGACCGCTACCCCGCCGCCTCTACCCGCTCGAAGACAGCACCACCACCACCACCGTTTCCACCATACGCGGTCTCTGTCCCCCCCAAAGACCTCCGGAAAACTACGCACCACACTACGCAAAGAACCCTCATCCTCCTCCTCCGAAGACGAGAGCGAAAAGTACAAAAGAAAAGGAAGTCGGATCATGGGCGTCGGCCGCAAACACCCAAACAAGCACCACGAAGGCGCACGGAAACGCTGGCGCGATACCATCACGGAGCGAGAACGGAAGCGATATGAAGGTGTGTGGGCTGCTAACAAAGGCATGTATATCTATAACTCCCCTAACGCCCAGCACCCTCCCTCACCATCCCGCACCGATCTGGATGTATCAGACACCGCGCTTCTGGATGTTGTTGGTGTAGTGACGAAGGAGATATGGGCTCGAAGTCGTTTGCCTGAACATGTGCTGGAGGAGGTGTGGGATTTAGTGGATGGAAGGGGGATGGGGAGGTTAAGGAGAGAGGAGTTTGTGGTGGGCATGTGGTTGATTGATCAGAGACTTAAGGGTAGGAAGTTGCCGCTTAGAGTTAGTGAGAGTGTTTGGGGGAGCGTGAGGGGGGTAGGTGTTAAGGTTAAGGTTAGGGGTGGACCGAATAGGTAGTGGAGGGGAAAGGGAAAGGGAATCGGAATGGGGGGTAGTGGGTGGGTTGAGGAATGTTGGGGTTAAGGGTTAGATGGTATGGTAGGGTTATAAGTTTAGAGAGATACCCAGTATTTTTATGACGACCTGCTGGCTTTAGATATAGTGGGTTGGGTTTGATAGCTCATGCTTGGAATTACTTCATTTGTGGTGCACTTGTATGGGTAGAGGCTAGGAATAACATTGGGTAAATTCGATGTCATGATAATGCAGTCTTCTGATTCGCAATCTATCTGACAATGTCTCCATGCTCCAGAGCCTCCACGTTAGGCGATAGCATGCTGTAGGGCGGAGCTCAGCAGTGGATCTGGAGCCCGGCTAAGCTCGGGCCACCCCTGTAGGCTCTTAATCCTTTTTTATATCAATTTTACATCGATATCGACGAAATTGGCGTCGTGCAAAAGCGCATGATCTACTCTAACAATCTAGGTAGGAAGAGGGGATATTCTCATATCTGTTATAGCTCGGATTCTACGTGAACTTCATGGGCGGAGACTTCAGGTCGGGATAGGATCAGAAATGATGTCCTACTTGGTTGAGAATACTACGTGAGGGGCAGGAGGAATGGAAAAGTCGTCTATATTGAATTTTTAGAAGTTAAAGTTAACTAGATCTTTCTATCGGCGTCAGATTTGTCTAGATCTGCTGAATATTGAAGGGGATATTCAGGCTGGAAGATGGGAAGATAGGGCTTTGAATGAAGTAATGCGCTGCCCTTCCTTCTGACATTAATATCTCCTTCACTACTTAACAGAATCGGATGGTTTTAGTGCCTTTAACAAGCTTCTAGGAAGTCCTTTATCCTTAGCACTAAGTCTTTTAGACAACTGTCACTGTGACGAGCTTGCAAGCACGAAAGATAAGTAGATGCAAAAATTGACGCTCCTTGATAACTAAAAGCCTAAGGTGTGTAGTTGGAAAGGGTAGGGGAGTCATATTTGGAGTGCGCGCTTACGCATCTTCTTCCGCCAAAGTAACCTTTCCTTCGGACGCATTTAGACCTTCCGAAAACCTTGAAGAAGATGGAGAGGGGGACGCTAAGGCTGTTAACTTCGATGCTGAACATGATCTTTCAGTGCAGCCTTACAGGGGGCATGCGTTATGAACGAAGTGATGTATTGTGGACTGAGGGTCCGAGGAGCTATATGATATATATAGTATGAGACGCCAAGCCCAAGGTTGATCGGGTAGCCCATCGTAGAGCCCTCTGGTCTGCATTCAGTATGACCCTTTGGCTATGATCTTGAATTTGACATTCTTATATAGGACGCCTAGCCATAGAATCCCCAGGTATGTTAAAATCAGTCTGCCCTCAGGATTTGGTTCACCATCAAGCGAGACATTTGTAATTCTTAAAGAGGAGCCAACAGTAGGTTATTTCAATGCCAAGACAGTTCAGTGAGGATTAGCCGACGAGGGGCCATCCGAATTGCACTGCCACAGTTTAATTTTGGGTATAGGCTTGGCTATTAGAGGATAAAGATCAGTTCTTACTGAGCGGTGCTGAAGTTGGGAAGAGCAACTGGTGATCAGCAATAAGTGGCTAACTATCGTCAGTCTATCCAATTGGGGTGGCCTGGAAATGAATAGCTATTGGCTCCACGCCAACAGCATCATCATTCTACCCAGGGATTATATCAAGCCTATGAACTGTCTTAAGCACGTGAAATCGTTCTGAGAACAGTTCTTGTACAACAATCCTGGGTAAAATTTCCAATCATGTCACTAAACAAGTATCTGGTGTCTTATGGGACAAAATAATGTGGGTTAGTCTATTTGATACTCTGGATATGCATCGCACCGGCACCCACGTGAACTTGGCTGGCTCAATAACGTGTCACAAGCGTAGGGCTCAGCAACTCCACGTCCGTCCTCATCAGCGACGCGAAACCAGAGACAACAATACCGGTGCCTTAGGTGGAGGTCGGAGCACATTAAACGGCATAATACCACTAACGAAAGTCTAACTACAAGCTGATATGTACATAAGGATTTATGCATGGTTAAAGAATTTTAAGTTGAAAACACTTGACTCCTGGTACAAATAATGTAGTTATATAATAGATTATAGAAATCCTTTGAATTTACGCTCATCAGCAGAACACTAAATTACTACGCTGTCTTACCTCTACAGCCGGCTTGCCTATGTAACAAGTGTAATGATCATGTCAACCCATATCCCCATTAGACCATTAGCATACTACGGGACATTCTATCCCCAGGTTGGGCCAGAGCCCAACTTTTCAGGCCTAGGGGGGCTATCAAGATAAACTGACTATGGATACAGGACCCTCCCGGTGGCCTCGCGGTATAGTAATCGTCAGGAATTCTCAGCCGTTGCAATTAGCTATGTATTATCAAGGAAACCGCCCCATAGTTTTGCGGCTTTGAATACATTCCCTGAAATTAACAGCGTTGTGGTCGCTCTATCTCATACCATCGCGCTTAATGATTGTGCGGACTGGGTTGGAAAGCTGCTTCTAGAGTCGTTGGATGTATGAGATAAGAACGACTATTTCCAAAGTTTGAAAGAGACTGCTGGTAGTGAGTTGGGCTTGTCTTCCGGTTTTTCAACCAAATTTCGGACCAATTGCTCGGCCTCGCCGCTCCAAGAACCTGGGAATATGTCGGTGGGTACTGGAATGCTGTTGGAGCCAACGCATCGAGGTATCCCCCAGAAGGGCAATTGAAAATGGCATTCTAGGCTAGATGATGAGGTCTGGGATCTTCGGCATTGGGAGATCGAGATGCCTGCTTAGCTGATGGAGGAGAGGTATGTGACTGGAAGAGGAGGTATATTTTGCGCTCTAGAGTGCGGATTATTACAAGATTAGGTTTGGAATTGTCCATGAACGTTGTAATATCCTGGAAGGGGAATAATTTTTTCTGATTGATGTGCCGGGCGATCCAGACGTGGGAGGGAAAAAAAAAATCAACAGCGCAGGTAATAGGATGTATGCATGGAGGGTGACCCAACAGGTTGTTCAATTGGTGCGGTAAGCGGCATACTTGGAGATAATATATGGCATTCGGAAGTTGAGCAGTTACACAGGCGATAGTGGTGTTGGTGTGTGCATCAGCTTGTTTGTAGATTCTACTCTACCGCACGTAATGGAAACGGAAGGCGTATTCAACCCTTATAAATATGAAAATTTCTTCCTCTCTGATCGACCCTTTCCAAATCGTTATTTTCGCCATAGGTGAGAAATTTGACAAAACAAGTCAATAATACGGCTATGCGCCGAGCATGGTACGTCTACAGGGAGAAATATCGAAGTAACAGACCAGTAAAACGAGCGAAATTGCAGTGAGTAGTACATGGTAGTAAAATAAAGTGCGTTAAACTATAGAATTTTCTTGTGATGTCCCGAAATATAAGCGAAAGTTAGAGATTAATTGGGGATGTTCCGGAAGGAGGTGGATACTTTTAATATCCCAACCAAGTAGAACGAAGCAGTGGGGAAAAGTGCAAAACTTTCATAATATCGTGGCATCTTGGATGCACGGAGGTGGCGAAGATAACAGATATGTAAATCGCCTGACACCAGTTGGAATTCAGGGACTTGAGTTAAAGCTACTTAAAGCTGTCGAAATGGGAGATGATTTTTGAGAATGAGAATGGGAATATTCGAAGTCGTGGAGATATCCGTTCCGGAAGGACATATGTGGGTAGTGGAAAGGCGTGTAGGTAATGAGGATGTTCTAGAGTCAATAATGAAGGCTGTAAAGGGGGATCCTATTGTAAGGCTGGTTCAGGAATCTCTTGAGGAGATCAGATGGCGCAAGGATGGGACTACAACTTCGGGACCTAGTGACTTCGACAGTCGATGACTTTGGTTACTGGTACAAGCCTTTTTACGACATCCCTCATCGCCATACCTTCACTCTTAGACCCTCATCTGTGCACATAATTCTATGGCTAGTCGTCTTTCTCGTGAAGTCGATGATATGTTTATCTTCGGCCCATATGCACTGTTTGCACGTCCTAGGAATCGCAGTCCTCTTAACTTTCCTCTTATTTCTAGTAAAGGATTTAATACATAAAGTTCACATCAACCAGGTTCTCTGGTGTGCAATACCATGCCGTCCAGGTTATTTGCATCATTAACTGTTTCTGTCCGTACGCAGCAGCAGCGTCGCGGCCTGGATACGAACGATCGCGCACGAGCAGGATCACGTATCTATGTCACATAATGCTTGTGCGCGAACCTCTGTGCGCGAACATCTAGATATCCCCCTTTTCCTCTGTACAGAGGAAAGACAAGAGTAATAAAACTAGAAACATGTTACTCTTACTTTACCTACTTTATACACTATGCACACTATACACTACTTTTACTTTTGCTACTTAAGTGCTTATACTATAAGTAGCTAGCTATTAAAGCTTATTTAACACTAATTAGTAGTTAATTTAATTAACTATAAATTAGTAAAAGTAATAATAAAGTACTTATACTT